AAGTAACCCCTGCTTCCTGCTGAGGTAGTTTCTGTCACTGATGGCAGCAGAACCAGGAGTTCAGTGCTTGTTAAACACCAGGTTTCACAACTATCCTCACCCACAGATTTAAACAGCAAGTCACGTGGTGCTCTGGACATGCACAGGACAGCATTAAGAATGCAGGATGCACAGATTTGGAACAAAGGAGCAGCTGCAGCAATGTGAAAGCCAGCGTGTAAGGGAACACAAAATGCAATAAGATGAGGATGGTGCCAGGTAGATCACAGAGCAAAGAGCAGTAATGAGTCCCACCCCCTTCCAGCAGCAACAGGGACCCTGCATGCACCAAAGGCATTTCTCCCAGCACAACCAGCAATGCAAAAGAAGCCCTTCTCCAACCTGTGCCACTGCTCGTTCTGCCTTTAGGGAAGCAAACCTCCCTGTGACATCTACCCTCCAGCATCCTCACTCCACAACAAGGGTAGCAACCCCTGCTGCATGCAGGACACCCTGCAGGGAAGTACCTCTGACAACTCCCACCTCCACACCTGAACTGGTCAGCTGAGTGGGAGCTGGTCTTTTAAGAGAGGTGTGGAGCCTATTAAAGCCACTGCAGGACAGGCCACTGAAACAAAGGCCACAGCACAGTGGAGCAGAGGGAACCAGCAAGAAAGTCAGTAAATTCAGACACCCACCTAGTAACTGCAATGACAAAATGGCATAATGGTGAACAAGGCAAGCAGCAGGAATCTCAAGAAAAACTAGATGGCCCTGTACACTTCAGAGGAGATGCACCCACTGTCCAAGTGCCACATGCAGCCCCTTCCCAGCCAAACTGCAACTGAAGGGTGTATCCCCTCTCTTCTGAACCAGCTTGTGCCTCCAGCTCTCAGCTCACAGCAGCATCTGGCTCAGGTGGAGGCTCACAGGTGCCTGCAGTGTGGATCCACCACCAGATCCTGACCAGGAAAGCAGAGGTGACCACCTGCCTTTGCCTTCCAAACCACACTCCCCTCGGTGCTCAGAGCCGCTGGCAGTAGAGTTCATACATGCTATTTGCCAGCTTCTGTGTCTCTTGAAAAGCTTCACAGCTCTCCTCCCAGCTTGGGGGTATCTGTTCCTCCCCATAATAAGCTCCTGCAATAGCTCCTGCCATGGTAGCAATGGTGTCTGTGTCTCCACCCAGAGAGATACAGTAGATGATGGTCCTCTGCAGGTTGTTGTAGTGATCAGGAATGTCTGGGTCAGCCTCCATACAGCGCAGGAAGGAGTAAATCGCAGTAGGGACAGACCTCAAAGCGGCGATGCCATTGCCTGTAACAAAGCCAGGCATCATCAGGGCTGCAGAACATTCCTGTCTTCCTTCCCACAGAAAGCCTTTTCCCTTCTAACTACAGCTTCCTATTGCCAGTTGCTTTCACTACTGGTATTATCATGACAAGGTGCACGAGACTGCATCAGTAACATCTCCCCATAGTTCCCCAGTCCTAGTCACATCCAGCTATGCCAGTATAGCTTGGCTATACACATCTACCCATTCCCATCCAACATGAAGATCTGACAGCCATTAAGACAAGAGATCTCAGAATACTAAGAAATATTATGCACAATTTTTTCTTAGCAAGACATTTCTTCCCCACCTGTACAAAGAGGGAGTCATTGGGTCAAGACTCAAAATTACTGGCTGGTAAGCACAACAGCCTGTAATTTTCCAGCACATTCTATGCCTACAGGCAGCAGAGGCTGAAGTGGCAACCTGTGGGAGGACACGTCACCCAGGCTGGCTGAGTCAGTCCTCAGCTCTTTTCTAGTACTTAGAGTAAGAAAGGTACTTACCCAGTTCAAACAATACATCTGCTTTTGGAACACTGCTGAGTTCCAAGAATTCCTTTATTTTCTTTAGGCGCCTTGAAAAGGGTAAATCTTCAAATCCCAGCCTGGAAACAAAGAGTACAATGGAGAAAAGAGAATGTGAACTCAGAATAAACTGTACAGAGCAGAGTCAGTGCTCCCCACAGCTACTTACGCTCGTGCATCAGTAAGAGACTTATCATCTGCCTCTACATCTTCCATGTGGCTAATGAGCTGCTCCAGGAAGGTCTCTTTGCTGACCTCTCCCTGTAGGGCAAGATGCACAGCCAGGGCCTGCAGGATGGCTCCGTTGTAGCCCAGGGAGTTGGCATGGGTCAGTTCAGCACTCAGCTTTGCAAACTGGGAATGCAAACACATCCTTAGCAAGCCTACCCGAGAGATCCTGCTGAGCCCAGCCTGACAGCAGCACTGCCAGAGCTGAGGTGCCCACAGGAGCCAAGCACGGTACCTTCTTGACATCCTGGACATCAGAGTAGGTGAGAGAGATGCCTGCCACCCTCATGGCACCACCATTGCCATAGGAGCCTTTCCCATTAAACTGGGCTCTGGCTGGTTCAAAGACATCGCTGCACTTGGGGCTCAAGAGCTTCTTGAAGACATTGACAACAGCCATCCCATAGCCCCTGTTGGGCTCCTTCTTGTACTCCTCAGCAAACCTGGTGGGGGTGAGAGCACAGCAGGTGAGGAAAAACACAGGGGGTATTTGGTCTGTTTCCAAAGTTCGTAAAGAGGCTGTTGATAAAGTGAATGAATAACACGTGGGTAATTCCATGGCAGCCAGGGTCCAAGTGATTCAGTTCTGTAGGGAAAGAATCTGATTCCCAAAAAAACAGTGTGAAAGGAGGAAAGGGTGAATAAACCATCACCTCTCACGACCCACTTGTTTCCCTCTTGACTCTGCCTTGAAATAGAAGCAAACTGGAAATGTTTCCATGGGTCACAACCACAAAGAAAGTCTTTTGTTTGAGTTCAATGGAAGAGTTTTCTAAACAAATAAATGCTCTCCCCTAAGTGGAACCAAATGCTGGCAGGGCTGTGGATTTAGAAAGGAAATGGATCATAAACAAACTGGAGCTGACCTCACTAATACACACCAACTGAACTAAGGGAAGTGCAAACATAAATAGCAACAAATAAACACGAAAGAAAATGCTTCTGCCATTTCTAAGCCTCATCTTCCACAAGGTGGAAATACACACACAGCTGCAGCACAGCAAGTCCTATCCTGCTTCATTCGAGGCAGGCTCTGCACCTGTGCTAGAACTAATGCTGCTGCTTGTCCCTGGGCAGTGCAAAGCACACAATGAATTACAGGATTAGCCACCACTCCTATTTTCTTTTCCCCATCCACAAACTAACAATGACTTTGCCTTAGCCCCTGCCCCCTTTCCCAGAACATTACAGCGATTGCTTAACCGTGAGGGAGTTTTGCCTTCATCAGTAAATGCCAACACTCCAGCCCCTGAGGCTGCTGCAGTCCTTACCTCTTGGCCATATCAACTTCATCAAACTCCCTCCTGGCCAGCAGGGACTGCACCACCGACCTGCTCATGGCCGTGTCATCTGTGTATGACAGCGTCTCTAGAACAGAAAGTCAAATGTAACGTTAGCACCCAGGGACAAACTCTGCTCCTCTCCATCCCCACTGCCAGCACCTCCCTGTTCTCTGAGGCCTAATTCCCTGTACAGCTGGATTACAACACTACCAGAGACTGCCCAGTACTCAGCTTGGCACTGGCTGTGGTCATCAGAGTGAGAAACAGAGCAAGAGTAATGCACCCACAGCAAGAAGGAGACAGAGTGCATTTACTGATTAGTACGAATCAAGAGGAAGTGTCTGATACCCAGAGGCACGTAAGGACAAGTGGGACAAGTCGCTTTCTCAGCATATGCTGACACAAAGAGAAAGGACTGCTGCATTTCTGGGCACGACTGCAAACCGAAGGGCAACAGGAACACATCGTCGCTTGCTGAGAGTTCAATAATCCTTCTTGTGCCTCTCTCACTCCTAATCCGGGTTTGGTACCTGTGCTCCTTGCTGACAGCCCTGCGCTGCGCTACCCCGGCTCCCAGCACCACACGTGAAACGTGCCTGGGGGCACCCATGGGTGGCCGGGGATGTCCCCCGCTGGGGTGAGCGGCAGGACCGGGGGCACCCACCCTAAAGCCCGAATCTGTGGGGCGCTGGGGCCAGGCCCGGCCCCCGTCCCGCTCCCGGTGCTCCCGCCCACCTCTGCGGGCGCTGCCGGCCGCTTCCCCCTCATCAGGCGGCCCGGGCGCCGGCTCCAGGCCTCGGAGGAAGCTCAGCAGATCCGGCAGCTTCACGACGCTCCTGCCTTCGAAGACGGCGCCCAGGCAGTCACCGAGCAACGCCCCGGCCAAGCAGCCCCGGAACCGGCCGGGTCCCGGCCGAGGCCGCGCCGCCGCCCGCCCCGAGCCGGAGCCGGAGCCGGAGCCGGAGCCTGAGCTCGACCCTGACCCCGCCGCCGCCATCTTCTACCGCGCCGCCGCCGCGCTCCTCCGGGCCGCCAGGGGGCGGCTGCCGCGGACACTACCCCCTAGCGGCTCGGAGGAGCGCCCGGAAGCCGGAGCCGGGGTTTCCGTGACGCCCCGCTAGCAGCGCTGAGCCCCAGCCCGCCCCCCGGGGGGCTCCTCGGGGCGGCAGAGCAGAGCAGGCCACACTGATTCCGCCTGGGAAGAACGTGCCTGGAATAGAAACACCACCACTGAGGAGGACACGAGCCCCGCAGGTCCGTTTGGGCAAAGCCGGTGCCATCAGGAGGCAGAGCAGGCTCCAGCACCCGCTTCCATCGCTGTGTTCCCCCCCACACACACCGAGGGGAAATGCCAGCCTAAACCCAAAGGAGCTGGGAGCGGGGACGGGCAGCGAGCGGCTCCGGGGGCTGCCAGCCTCAGCCCGTCCCGTTCCCGAGCCCTGCCTCGCACCTCGAAGGTTTCAACCACCCAGGAGCCCCGGTGGATTCGATCCCTGCCAGCGCTGTCAGATGACAACGTTATCTTGGGAACAGGCTGGTTTTATTGTTCGCGATGCTCCTGGGAGCATCACACAGGGGCTGGGGGGGGGGGGGGGGGCACAGACAGTTATATAATAAACCAGGAGGAGGGAGCAGGATTCCATTCTAACACGACGCAGATGCCCGCTTCCCTCGCCATGGAACGCAGTCAGTAGCGCTCTCTTTCACCAGCTCCTGCTGCCCCTTCCTCCACATGGGTTGTGGCCCCGGGGAAAGTCTCAGCCTCCGGCAGAAACCTCTCGGAGGGGACCAGGAGCTTCCTCCGGGTGTCCATGCACTTGTTGTCCAGCACCAGGGAATTCGTTCTGTAGCCAAGATCTGTCCGGATGCGGTGAAGTTGTTGGTGAAGAGCATCCAATGAATCCCTGTGAACAAGAAGTGAAAGGAGTTGGGTTCAGGCACTGCGTTCACTGCCCAGGTTGGGTGGGAAACACCTGACTTCCCACTTTCTGGCAGCAGAAATCTCTGTGCAGCGTTTGCCTTTGCATGAAGAACTACAGCATGAGGCAGTTCTTGGTGCTGAGCAGCACGGTTTGGGGCTGTGAGCAGCCAGCTCACGTGCTTCCTATGAAGCATCGTATGGAGCCAGATTGAGAGAGCTGGGCTTGTGCATCCTGGAGAAGAGAAGGATCCGGGAAGAACTTAGAGCAGCTCCAGAGCCTTAAGGGGGCTACAAGAAGCCTGGAGAGGGGCTTTGGACAAGGGCCTGTAGGGACACTGTCAATGCTGGGGCACCACACTGCCCCAGAGAGCAGGAGACTTACTGTGCCTCTGCCAGCTTCTGTTTGAGTGCACGGATCGTTCCCTCCAGCTGGTGGACCTCATGTGTTAGCCCATACTGGACCTGCGAGGTGGGGAGGGAGAAGGCAGTGAGCAGGGCTGAAGTGTTCTTCCCCAAACCCTCAGTTCTCTCCGTCCCCTGCTAGCCCAGCTGTAGCCCTTATTTCCTCGCTCTGAGGTGACTGCAGGACCCAGAGTTCAGCCCCACTGTAGTTTTCTCCCAATGCATCCACACCTTTCAGGCCAAGCCCCAAGCCCAGGCAGTTCCCCCAGTCCCTGCTGGCAGGACCTGATCCCGGCAGAGGTCTGCACGGGGCCGGTAGGTGCGCGTCTCCAGGCGGGTGTGCGCCACTTTCAGATCCTGCATCTTCCTCCAAAGCTCTTCCTCCAGGCGTCGGATCTCCTCCTCCATCTCAGCAATTTCCTCCAAGGCCTAAGGGTACAGAAGTCTCGTGAGGGACAGGCAGGGATACAGACTGCAACACAGCCCCCAGGCCTTTACTGTGCAGGGAAGAGATTTTACACAAGGGCTGCTGGGCTTCCAAGTGATGAACCCCACTGCTTTGTAGTTTGGGCTTTTCACACAGCCCAGGCATGGTGCTGCTGGTGGTTTATGGCCACAGCAGTCGAGACCAGGGTTGAAATGAATAGGCCAAAACCTGGCACTGCTGCTGAGAAATCCCCGAGCAGCAACTGTGACAGCAGAAGGAGGTAGGATACTGCAGGGATCACAGATGTGCCCCATAACAGCTCCCATGTGGAAACTACGCTCAGGTTAAATAGCTTTCCACATAACAAACAGCCTTTTGGGTTCAGTTCCCACCCAAGATTGTGGTTGATAACCAAAGAAGCAACATTTACGTTCTGCTCCTGCCATTTCAGTTCATCACAGGCTTTCTCCAGGTCTCTAATCCTCTTGCGCAAGGCAAACTCTGTAGCTACACGCTGAGCCTCCAGCTCGTTGTTTGTCTGAAGAGAGAACAGGCTCCAGTGACACATGTCTAGAAGATGTTTCCTTCCCAGCTGCTCCTTGCTGGGTTGGGACAGGCCTATGAGCAAAACCAGCTGGGTTTTGGCTGCCGTGCATCCCCTGCAGCCAAAAGGCAGGGAGCAATGGACAGGTACATGTCTCCCATGCTGCTGACACCACTGCAAGCCCCACAGCATTATCAAGCTCCTCTCTTACAAGAGGCCTAGGGGGTCAGTGCTGTCTTTTCAGACTCCCTTCCCTTGGCCACAGCAAATGCCAGCTCATTCTCCCCGTGGGATCCAGACCTTCTGTGCCACCAAAGGGACTAATTTACCTGGGCAATGGCAAGCACTGTGGCTTCTCGGAGCTCAGCAGAGGTTTTCAGTTCTGCCTCAGCACGCTGCTTGTTGCTCTGGCTGTTCTGTTCCCACTCATCAACCGTCGTTGATCTGTGAACAAAGCAGCAGTTATGAAAATGAGTATTTGCAAGATGGTTCAAAAGGGACCACCTGCTGCAGGCCGAGGTGGCTTTGTGCAGCACAAAATGACTCAGGAATTCTGGAGGTTGTGTTCTGTGTTATTTCCTCACACCAGCAGGAAATTGCTACCCCATGGCTCCTGCACTGAGCCCAGCAGCTGCTCAAAACAGACACGCATCCAAACCGTGCTATAAAACACCAAGAAAGTGAAAATGGGGAGCAACATCCCCCCATAAGCTGTGCCAGAGGCTGGTGCCACGCTACTGGGTAGCCAAGCACGAGGGAGGCAGGGCAGCAAGCTCCTCTGGTTTTGTGGTGACAATTTAGATAACTCCCAAAAGTCTGTGGCTTCACAATTCAGGAGCCACAACAAATCCCAGAAGCCAGTTCCTGTTCAGAGCTCTCTGCAAACCTGCACCCATCAAGCTGGGACAGAACACAGAAGGAAAAAGCATCCCAGGGCTCTTTGAGCACCAGCACGGATTTGGCCACACAAGGGCAGGTTCTTTCCTTACCCGTTTGGGACCTGAGTTGGGTTGACCTTGAAGGAGATGTTGGGAGAGTTTACGCTGAGGGATAAGCACATCCGATCTAATTCCAATGCTTCCATCTTGCACTGGTGGTCACTGCTCAGCTGCTGGCGAGCTTCTTGTAAGAGGCTGCAGAAAGCAGGGCTGGGGTCAGCAGTGAGCATTCCAAGGGGGAGGCAGCTCAGACGTTCCAAAGCCTTCCTCACCACATCAGCCATCTTTCCAAGATGAGTGATGAGCTCCTGCCCGCCCAGTGAACTTGGCTCAACTGGGTAAAGCAGCCTGCCTGGCTCCCCTATGCTCTGCTCCAGCATGATGCTGCTGAGCTGAGCTGCCCACCCTCCTGTAGCAGGGCAGTGACCCAGCATGGATTAGAGCCCAAGAGCTCTAACACCTCCAGGTCTTGAACCAGGGCAGGTGGCACAAGGCATCTGTCTGGGCCAAAATGTTCCAAGGATGCTGATGAAGTCTTTCTCCTGACATGCTCTACCCTACAACCTCAAACCCTAAAGACATTGACAGCAATCCTCAGAGGCTCCTCCGAGTGGTTCCCTGCCCCTGGCCTGCTTGCCACTGCTCAGAATGGCACTGGAGGCACGTTAAAGTGCTGGGGCCAAGCAAGGAGGACAGAGCCTGGTCACATTTGCCTCACCAGAGCTGTTTGAAGGCTTCACTCGCTTTCTGCTGCAGCTCTCTCTTGGCTTTGTCTACCAACTTCACCTCCTTGTGCAGCTCCTCCTCCACAGGGTCCCTCACCACATCGATGGCGTGGTGGCTCTCCCGGGGTGTCAGGCACTCAATGGCAACGTCCAAAGGCAGGTTCTTTGCCTGGAGGGCACGTTCTGCTGCCTCCTTCACCTGGAAGAAGCAACCTGGTGGGTGGATGCAGGCTCCTTCAGGGATGGGAGGAAGAAAGGAAGGGGAACCCTCCAATACCCTTGTTAAGAGGGCTTTGCACTGCCTGTCTTGACAGTTCTGAAATGTTTTAGCAAGTCTGGAATGAAAATTACAAGCACACTGGTCTTCTAAACCTGCTATTCGCATTGCCTTTGGTTAGTCTAATGACTGCAGGAGCAGTACCCTCTGGGTTTAGAACTAGAAGAATCAGAGAGAGGTCCCCCTGCTTTCCTCTATTTAAAATCAAGCAGTTGTGAATGATGCTGCAAACATATTTTTCATCATCCTTCAGAGCTTTAAAAAACCCCAAACAACAAAAACAACCCAAAACCCCAAGCATGAGCATGCAATGCACAGCACCACGAAATGGCATGGCTCAGCTAAGAACACAGTGATGTGCTTTCCATAAAGCCATTTCATCAGGTATGGGTTTTGGCAGACCTGCAATAAAACCCCTCAAACTCCATATGGGCTTGCCCATTGCAAAAGAAAAGCCTCAATTATTTAACATCCCGTGTTGAGGGCGTAAGTTGATTCCCAGCCATCTGTCTTCCCAACATACTTTGGCTAAGGCATCGATTTCCGCATCTACGTCTGCGAGGCATTTGTCCAGGGTCTCCTTCCATCTGTTCACGCTCCTGATACGTTCAGCCAGGCGGGTTCGGTTGTCGTGCTCATCCCATTTTGCCTGGAATTAGGGGAGAAACTCTCGTTCTTAACTCGCAGATGTGAATATTGCCGAAGCTTTTCCCCATTTTCAGGACTGACTGACCCCCCCCAGAGCACAGCGCCCCGCTGCCGTTCGGTCTAAGGATCATCCACACGAGCAGCCAGCACAAGTTGTCAGGGGTTTCCTGACAGTACGTGTGCATCACTGCATGCGGGTTTACAGGAAATGGAAGGATTGAGCACGTTCTGTACGGGTACAGCCTTCTCCTACCCCCTCATCTGTACACCCAGATCTTGACATAACCCCCCAGTCCTCAGCCTGCTCCTCCGGCAAGCCTGGGAGCAGCCTCCCTGCCCCACGTCCCACCTGGTTGCTGGTTTCGTTGCGGAGAGCTCGTGCTTCCTGCCGGACGCGGTGGGCAGCAGCGGACAGGAGCTGGGAACTGGTGTGCCAGTGGGGCGCGGTGCGCCGCTGCCCTGGGTTCGTGCTCAGCGTGGCCATGGCCCCAAGCAGGGGGCTGAAAGGGAGGGGGGAGGTTGTGTTTATTCACAGGAACGCTTTGGAAATGGAGCTGCAGCCACAACCTGGAAAGCTCTTCAAGAGAAAGGCAGCAGCGAGCGCTAGCCTCGCATAGAGCACAGCGCAGACACACGTGCCCGCACAGCAGGGGAAGCAAGGGGTAGGAGACCGAAGCCCCTCTCTGTCCAGGCCAGGAGGAGGAAGCCCTGGGGAATGGTGCTGTCTCGGGGGGACAAGGGGCTGCTCACTGCACCGTCTGCCATCGGTATTCACTGAGCTCGGACAAAATGGCTGCTCCTGTTTCCCGGGGGTAGGCTCAGCCCAAGGCGGCGGCCCCAGGGTAGCTGAAGGCTTTGCAGGGCCGGGATACACAGAGCCACCCCCTTGGCCACCCTGCCCAGCCCTGAAGAAGGGCAGAGAAACCCCCGGTCAGGAGGAGACCTGGGGCTGAGAGCCTGGCTCCGGAACACCCCATCCCTGGGCACAGATGGCTGGGACAGAGCTCCTTGGGCAGCCCCAGACACACCCGAGACTGCTGGGGAGCAACGGGGGAAGGAAGGCAGCCTGACGGCAGGGCTGGGGCACAGGGGCCCTCACCCCGCCTGGGCTCCAGCCGCCCCGAGCAGGGCACCCACCCCAGCCCCTCCGTGCCGGGGCCCTGCTGCTCCCTTGGGGCCCGCCCCGCCAGGCTCCCCTCACCGGTCCGCGGTGCGGGTCCCGCTCCCCTCACGGCCGCCGGCCCCGTTACCTGCAGCGCGCGGCCCCGTTGCCGGGCAGCGCGGGCGCGGCCTCCCCCGCGTTCCCCTCAGGGCTCCCCGGCCGCAGAGCACGGGGCGGGGGCAGCGGTTCACGGGGACGGGAACGCTGCGAACCGAGGCGAAACAGCAGCGACAGCGGTCACGGTCGTGGGTGCGACTTCAATGAACAAACCAAGGGGAAGGGGCGAGGGGAGCCCTGGCCCCGGCACAGAGCACGGCCCCGGGCTTGGAGGGCAGCAGAAGGGTTTGAAACCACCGATCCCAGCGCTTCCACAAGCGATTCCTTGCTTTTAAAACAACCCCGGGGCGTTCAGTGAAATCCAAGTGTGAAAATAAAGCCGTTTGATGGCAGAGATGCACAGCACCTCCGTCCCGACAGCGCCCAAGCCGGGGCAGCGCCTCCCCCTCCGTCCACCCCGGGTCAATGCGATGTGAGGATATTAAAAATAATAATTAAAACATCACATATGCGTTTCCAAAAAAAAAAAAGAGAAAAGTTTATTTTCCAAATGAATACGGCTCGTTTACAATACACCCAACTCGATGGTAACTAAAGCCAGCAGAGAGCCGAGGACCGCTGTGTGTACTACGCACAGTCGCACAGAGGTTACAGGTGGGAGGGAAGGGACGGGGACGGGAGGGGAGGTTTTACTGTGCTGGAGAGAAAGCAGCTTGGGACAGGTAGAAAATTTGGCATGAACAATCCGTCTGCACAGGGAGAAGGGGCAGAGGGGACCGCGTCCACCCCGCGGGGCCAGCTCCGGACACGGCGACGCAGGGATGCCCGCACGGCCGCAGCCCACATCCGCAATACAAATAGGCACACATGGTCGAGATGGGTAAGTAAAAATAAAGGCTTTTACCAGGTTGTTTGCCATCCGGTTACAATCTCTTTGTGCAATGTCTCAAGTCACGGCTCGACTTCGGTCTTGAAACAATTCCCTTTTTGCTTCAAATCCCCCCCCCCCCCCCCCCCCGCCCCAGTACCTTCATGGTGGGAACACAGTCAAGTTCCTGCTTAACAAGCAATGGTTAACACCAAAACGAGGGAGCAGTTACCAGCATATCATTAAGAGCAAGACACATAGAAGGGAATCAGGGAATCTCAATTCACCAGACTGGTTTATTGGAATTTTACTCTGAAAAGGAATCCCAAACAGCACAATATTTCTAATTCAAACATATGGTATTCAATACGCAAAATTTATATGCACGACATTGCTTCCAGAAGTCTCCTAAACACACACAGCTCCATCACTAGCAATGGTTATGGCACACACTATGCCACCTTCTCCTGAAAGATACTTTTAACACCCATATTGGCTCACAACCGAATGCTACCAATTACTGTGAAAGCTTTAAAGTAATACCTGCTGATAGACAATGCTTTTATCCATGATCAGACACCTCCAGGCCACGCAAACAGCCCAGTTTTTCCCCAGACAACCTCGGTTTTCCCCATGACAACCCTCAATCCACCAACAGGCTAGCTGGGGAAGCTGAGCTGCTTACAGCAAGGGAAGAAAAGGCGAATACAACAGGAGGATCTGCGTACCCTGTGAGCCCAAAGTGCGGCACCTAAGCCGTGAAACGCAGGTGCTTACGCCGGAGTCGCTGGTTGTGGCAGGAGGAGCTGGGCAATGAGCCTGTAAAATCAACATTTCGGACCAAAAACTTGTTCTGCCGACTTTATTGCCATGCTGAGGTTAGCTTTTCCCAACTGCCTGCGGAACAGACACCAAATGCAACTCTCTAGAAGCAGGTTTTTCTACAGGAAAACAACATTAAAGTTGTCTCAAGGCTAGATTCAACACTGAAAACTGCAGAAACGACAACATCTTACTGAAGGATAGAAAGAAAGTCCAAAGAAAACTAAAAGAACCCTATAACCACAGGAGGAAAGCGATGTACAAAACCGAGTACCCAAAAGAAGCCATTCTTCACTGCCAAATTGCCAGAAGGCAAACTCCATCTCTAGCAATCCTCCTCTTGCTGAGGTTTTCTGCCTCGCCACTTCAAGAGCACTACTCAAGTTTCCACTTTGCTGGCTCACCAGCAGGTTCCCAAACTTCAAAAGGTTCTTCACATTTAGCATTGCCCCAGTGGGTATTACTCTGCTATTATGTCTGAGTGAGCACTAACCAGCAAGACGTGGATTTTCTATCAAAGCAGCTGGTTTTAAATCTATTCAAGAGATTTCCAAGTGTAAGCATAATGAAAGTTTAGGAGTTATTATTTTAATAGCTCTTTTTTGCACACCTGGACGGGTTGTGGACCTAAGATTTACGGGCTTGCACAGCCCTGATCTCCACATATATTCTTCTGTGTTGCTAGGTAGTATTACAGTAGGTATTGATTTTCCAACTTCCAAATGTGTTTGAAAGATTTACATAATTCTCAGCAATGGGAAAAAAAGCCCAACTTGCATTTAAATGAACTTGCTCGCTGACAGTCTGTTTTGCAACAAATGGATTTCCTTAAAAGAAAGCAACAGGTAAACATCGTGGGACCAAACCCAACAGCCTTCCTCGGCAGAGCTGCAGTGAGATTAAGAGATGGGCTCTGAACAGAACTGTATTCACTGAAGATGCAAGAAGGTGCTCGGCTCTGTAGAGGTGACAGTGCTTCCACATCGTGGTCCATCCTCAGAACGCTAAGAGCTAGCTCTCATAAGGCCATGTGAATCACCAGAGATATTTTCTAGACAGGGTGAAAAGCGAGGCAGGGTGGTTTAGCTGAGGTCAGGGAGAGAAACCATTTCAGAGCCAGCACTGAGACCAGAGTTCCTGACCGGATAACTCATCAGTATCACAAACCTGCATCAAAACCAACCTATTTGAAAAGCTCTTCCATTTTGGTCTGAAAAAATCCACTTTTTTAGCAGCTTTAAGCCCGAAGTAGCATCTAAGGACACAGGTGCTCACTTTAGCACAGCACACAGTCTGTAACAGCCTTCCCTCTCCTAGTACCTCAGTATCAGAGGATGAGGGATCTTTTCTCCCCTCGTACCACTTTGCTAACCCCTTCCCTACCCCAGAGACCACACGGTTTTCTACAGCCACCACTACCCTCAGCCGCTGGCAAAACTGGTTCCTGAAGGATGATGTTGAATCCTCACCTCCACATTCCCACACTTGATCAGACCTCTGCTCCCTGACATTCCCCACACAACATTCTTCTTGTCCTTACAACTACCAAAGGGGAATGCAGGGGAAGAAGCAATGGAGTGTATGGAAAGCTGCAGGAGCATGGTAAAGAGTGAAGACATTACTGGACAGGCAGCATTCAGATAAAGGCAGAATTAATGATTCTCATTAGACAGAGAAACACGAAGTGCAAGTCTACCAGGAATTACGTTTATTTGATGACATTACTCTCCAGAAGCCACTTCTTTTAAGGGCTTCTCCTCTCTGGGTAGTTCTAATTCACAAATAACTCAGGGCTCACTTTGCTTAAGTAATTCAACACAAACCCAACTCCATCCTGACCAAGGACTTCAAGCTTTAAAAACAGTTCAAGAGTAATACTAACCATACTACCAATGCCAACACAAGTTTTCCCAGTTCTGTTCTTGATCAGAAAAAGGCACATGCTTGCTCTTGGTGAGCTCAAGTCTGACACCAACAGATCAGGACACCTCAGCTCATGTTTGATGTTCCCATTGATTTCCCTGAAGTGGGAAAATCCTGACATCCACCCAACTCCTACCCAGTCCTTTATTTCTACAGGCTGTTGCTTTCATCGCTATCACACCTCTCCCACATCCAGAGCTGATTCACCTTCCACACAGCCACAGCATCCTCCACACGGCTAGTTCTACACAGGCAGCGAGGGAGAGCATCCTGCCTAAGGGAACAGGGAGGTAGGTAAGAGCTGAGGAAAACCAGAGCAACCGTAGTGCTACAGCAAAATTAACTCTATAACTGCCTGCTGCTGTTTTTCTTGGCAGCCAGGCACACTTCAGTGTGAACTGCATGAAAACTGCAACCAGAAACCTACCAGAGCATCTGTGTTGTCTGGAGGGGTCAGATACTGCTCACAAACCCCTCAGCTCTGCTGTTTCAAATAGCACCGATCTGCTGGAACCTGCATCTGCTCCAAACCAGGTAAGGTAGAGTCAAGGTTGAGATACAAAACACAGTTTGATTCAGTTATACAGCTGTTACAGGCACTGCCACCTGCTTCTCAGCACTGGCCTTGTAGGATGTGAACAGGCACTCAAATACAGGAAAATGCTCTTCCCCTCATTTTTCCCCTTAGTTTTTGAAGTAGTCATGTAAGGTCTTTCAGGGTAAACTGGGGGTACAAAGATACAGGTTCACAAGGCTTTAGCAGCATGAGTTTTTTTTGCAGTATATCCATCTTTTTCAGTACAGAGACAAGTTTCCTCCTTGCATGCTTTAGAGCTTTTTACTATTGGTTTAATAGCACAGTCACCACTACCGCTTCTCTTCACAAAACACACAGCCCAGTCAGCTTAGCTTTAGGATTAATCCCAGCACCATTTACTGTGAGTAGCATCAATTACAGCAAATCCTCAGCCTCAAACTTTGCCAGGAAGGAGGATGAGTTAAAACTATCCATGTGAATTAGGTTACTGCGGAGTTTTTGGTTTGTCATTTGGCTTTTCTTTTTATATTCGAAGTATTTTAAGAGAGTATCTACATCTTCAGCAGTTTATTAGCTTGTATTTAAATGGGATACTTTAAATCCCCATGCACCCTCCAATGACTTCAACACAAACACACAGACCATTTCTACTGTGATTAAACCCAGGGGTGCTACAGTTCATCACCACCAAAGCAAGACTTGTAGGAGGAGATCCGTGCCCAACAGAAACCAGCATCACCAGATGCAAAGTCCACTTCCTTTCTTTCAGTAGAAAGAAGAGGCAGCAACTTCCTTCTAAATCTCAACAGCTTCAGGTGTTAACTAAATGTAGATAGAAAATGAACTGGTTGATAGGCAAGGGAAGAGAGTATTGCTGCAAACAAGCTGATGGTGCAAGATTTTTGGCCCTTTTTGTCTAAAAGATAAAAACACCTACTACTAAAAGGGACAGAAGACAGAGTTTTGGCTCAGACTTTAGCCTGAAAAGATGCTTTCTAAATCCTAGCCTAATAACATTAAGAGATCAGGAATATAAAATAATTTAACATCATCGCAAGCTTAAATACCAAGTGGCATTGGGCACTGTAGTAAGACAAGAAGGTTGGTAACAAACTACAAGAAACATCAGTTCCATTCTCTAACTTGAATCAGAAGAAATCTACACAGCAAAAATACTTGATCCATAGTCTCGGTGGGTAGCGGGAGTGCTGAGCGTCCCTTTCAACACCGAGGTGTGGGTCACTGCCCCACGTGGGGAATGCCGACCCCAAATATTTCATCAATCAAATTAAGAGATGTCAAAAAGCTCTGCTAAGTCCTGGAAAGAGTCTGGACATGAACTTATTCCTGCCAAGATGCCACTTGCAATAACAGTGGGAGTTTTGCGCTTAAGCTCCTGATATTCAAACATATCCTGACTGACATCAAGTTATTCCACATGTGAAATGCCCAATTCTGTATGAACAGTAATAAAAGGAACCTAAACTGATTTCTGGTTTAAAGAAACAAGGTACCAACTGAAGCACTCTGTCTAGGAAGGTGTTTTATTGTCTCCCCTCAAACAGGACTAGTTAAGCTGGCTTTAGAGAAGAAACCCCACACATTCAGAAACTTCTCCCTCCTAAAAGTAAATGTTAAAAGCAACACACAGACCAGACACACAGACCCATGAGCTGCACAGAGATTACCAATAAATATACAGGAACACCACAATAAAGGACAAGGCTCATCATAAAAGAAAAAAAGTCTGATAACTGCTGTTAAGACCGTTACAAAAATGAAAGTTGTGTATTTTTTGCAGGCATGTGCAAGCACATTACAGTGTAATCAAAGCAGAACTTTGCTATTATTATTACTTTATGCAGCATTACAAGGTTACTGAGGTGCAGTGTTTAATAGTCTAGTCTACAACTTTTCCTGACCGGAGGAATGCTCACCAAACTCACCATGGACCCAAGCCCTGAGCGGGGCGGCACTGCCCATCCCACCCAGTGTATCGGTACCCCCAGGCCCATCGACACATGGCACACCACTCCTTTAACCACCCAAGCAAACTTGCTTAGGACTGACCATCTCCTAAGCCTTCAGAGACAGCTTTGAGTTTGTCTACATCTTTGGGAGCACGCTACGTCGAAGAGATGACATCCTTCAGTAGCCATGGATTCCCCTTCAGCACTTATTACATCGCCCAGAGTCCCGTGCTGCTGCTTCTCCTACATTTCCATCCCCAAATCCCCTCAGTGTGAAGAGGTGAATTGCATTGACCAAATCAAACCCGACCCCTAGCCTACCAGCTGAATTTGGTGATCGCTCCTCAATGCCTCTCCCTCCAAGGGAAAACACCTTCCTGGTTATTCTTGGTCCTGACTCAGAGAAGCTGATGCTTGAAAGTACCTGAAAGATACCATCAAACACTTGGCATTTTCAATAATTTATCTTAGATTTTCAGCCACGTACAACTGGAAAATAAAAATCTACAGCACCATCTTCTAAAAAGGCACTTTCTGAGGACTGTCTTGCTTAAAAAAAATAAAGATCACTCCAAGTTTTAAACAGTGGAACTGCTTGGTTTTAAAAGGACCCTATGTTAACTACCCGTGTTAGGTGAGGGGGTACCTCAGACAAGACAGGAAAAGGCCAGGGCACGAGGATGGCACCTCTCCATCAACACCCTTGTTTCCATAAAACCGATGCTTCGAGATCTTCCCTCACGAGCCTCTCCCTTAAACTCCTTCCCCTCCACATGCACCTTTACCTACTTGGGGACAACAATTTGGTTTTGTTGTAGTGTCATAGAGATCAGGATTCTTGAGACTCTGCTAAGGAGGTAAAGTGTAGGATCCTGTACCCATCTCACAACTACCGACAGTACAAAATCTTCTACTAGCAGAAAGCATCAAAAAGCTCAAGCTCTAACCATTATCTTTACAAAAAACAACGTGTGAATTGGCTAAATGAAGCTTTATTTAAACACGGGCTGAAACAAAGATCATATCCTAGCTCCCAGTATCGGTCTAAAGTAGAAAGGCCAGACAGGAATCTTTCCCTTTGACACCCTAACAGATTTTTCCCACTAGATCCAACCAACCTGCCAGGAGCAGCCTCGAAACACCACAGCATGGAAAGGGACAGTATCTGCCTGGTGTGACCACACACTGGGATGGCCAGCTAGAAATAATGCTCCTTGACAACTGAATGTATAGTTTCAATGTACATAACCGGAGCTTTTGATTCCTTGGTTATAAAAGTGCTTTGAGGAAGGTTCTAAACCCTCAGTTCACAAAAGGGAAAGTATCGAAAGAGGACAGGATATGAAGAAAGTACATATATATATAAAAAAAAAAGGCCTCAAGCTTTTTTAAGCATAGGCTGAGCTTGGAATTTCTCCACAGTGGATTTCAAGCCTAGTAGAAAACCAGTATTCGTAGCTGGAATTCGTACAGAAGTTGACTATCCAGTATCTTACATTGAGCATTTTATAGGACAAAAATTCATACATGGAGAAGTGAAACTACTTTAGGACCAATAGCATCTTGAAATAGTTTGACTGACAGCTTCCAGAAACCCATTTTACTCCCAAAAACCATTTCTGTGGCCAAACAAACTTCCAAAAGGATGCCAGAATGAATGCTATAAAACAACTGCTGGACCTGTTTAACCAGATTCCACACTGAACAGTAATACAGCGATCCTGAGTCAAATGGCCACAGCTGAATTGCCCTACAAAGGAAAAAAAAAGCTACTTCGAGTGGAGTTCATCGTTCTGATCGCAGATGTTGCAGGCTGAACGCCTCAACCACAGAACACTCTACTTTCCTCTCCAAACCTGGATGTACTAGTCACCAGAGCGCAGGTTTTGGCTGGCTTTCTGCTAGGTCACAGAGCCCTGCACCGGCCCCAGGAGCGGTTCCGGCTGCTGGCACGGTACCAGTGCGGCAGGTTCGTGTGGCTGATGCCCAAAGGCTCTCCTTGCCCAGCCCAGGGCTGGGCCCTTGTGCATGCTCCTACCACAGGAGCGATTAGTGGCACTTGTTGGGTACAAGTGAGGTCTCCTGCAGTAACTGGTACAGCAGCCTAGGAGACAGGAACCGTCTGTCTAGATTGGCATGAACCCGAGGCCGGGATGTCTGCAAAGGAAGTAGAGAGCTGTCAGCCATCACCCGCATCCCTCTTTGGACCATATACAGACAGCTCCCAGGCAGAGGGGGGATCTGGGAATCTCACTCAAGATTTCCCCAAACAGCACGTAAGCTTTTGAGATTAATTTTTTTTTTCTATTTTTTTTTTAAAGGAGAGCAGGTACAAAAATAAAAGAAATCCATATACTCTGAAAATATACTGGAAACTGCCACCACAGATGAGGTACTATTTATCCCGCCCCCCCCACCCCCAAACTGCAAACATCAAAATATATATGTTCTTAAACAAAGGAAGAATATCTGGCTATTTAATCTCAGTTAAAATGACAGCACCCTTTGTTACACTTGATATTTCACACCATTAATTTTCCTCTGAAAAAAACAAACCAAGATCTCTAACTAACCTTGATTCCTTGCTTATTCTCCTCATTCCTTAGTGCAGTAATTGTCCATCTCCATTTAAATAAATATAGCAGCTACAGCATCATAAATGTGTGGCCCTCACAACGTCAGTAACTTGATATTGTAATACAAATAAGTATCGGCACTTGACGTAGATATTTGCAAAACCAAGAGGAGAGATTAAAACTTCCAAATACTCTTCACATGAAAACCAGGTGAAACGCTAGCTCGACAAGTCACTGAAGTCACGTTCCCATTGAAGTTCTGTTAGCTTGGGTTTGGGTGAAAGTAGCAAGCCAAAAAGCTTCTCAAATCGCAGTCACTGAGCGTGGGCAGGATGAGAAGCAGACGATGTCTTTGAAAGGAGCTTTAACAGACTGTTTTAGAAAGGAATTTTCATCTGAACGCCAGAAATGCACAAGAAGTATCTGCAAAATATTTGGTTTTGTTAAAAAAATTATCTATTTCAAAACAATTGTCTGTAAAAAGCCTTTTCCAAACGGAACTACAAGCTAGAGTGCTCCTGTGAGAGAACTGTCAGGTCACAGAGGAGGGAAAACGCCTGAGACTGCCTCAGAAACCATCCTGCTCTAGCTCTTTCCTTGCACCAACCTCCCTGCAGCAGGTGTATCTGAAGGGGCTGAAAGGCAAGCGCATTGAGAGGGCAAGGAGCATGGCTGGGGGTCTGTGGGAGCAGCCGGTGAAGGCACACGGCTCCCCAGGCCTCAGGGATCCCCGGACACGTGCCGGTCTGCTGAGCCTCCCTTGATCCTGTCCTGCCTTCTCCCTGAGGCTCCTCCAAGCCAACTGCCCGCTGTCACTGCTATTCCAGTGCAATTTAACGTTGCAAAGGCAGTCTTCTTTTACACGATCCTCCTTGCTAGTGGGAGATAAAATATGTACATACACTAACGGTTTAGTAAAGCTCTTTGAGACAGTGTTGTGAACAGCACATGTACACTTCAATACAATATACAAATGCACGAAATACAGTACTTTTGCTTTCTGGCAGGAAAAAAAAAAGGGGAGATTCATGCCTGTTGAAGCAAAATGGGCTCAGATTTTAGGCTCAAAATACAGTATATTGGCAAACAGCGGATTTCATGAGAATGACAGGAGAGGAGCTACTTAAACCAACCCACTGGTTTTCATGTGGAGAGCAGGTGGAGTTCAGAAGGGCTGGGATAACAGCAATGCCCATACAAAGGATCTGCAGTATATATACTATGAACCAGTGCAAATAAAAACAGTCAAAAATGCAGTTCACGAGTTTACAAAGTGCAAAACTCCCCAGTCCCCTCGTTGAATAAATGCTTGTCTCTGACATCTTAAATATTGTTTTACCTTTAAAGTGGAATGAAAGAGTCCCGTTAATTTGTTTCACATTTCAGTGATTTAACATGTTAGAACTATCCCAGCCCTCTTTATTTGCAAAGTGAAATGAAGTTACCAATAACTTAATTTTAAAAGGAAAGTCATTATCAAAGAGGAAAAAAGCCTAAAAACTTCTATTAATTCCAGACATTTTAGTGATGTCAAATAGATTTAACTATGCATGTAAAAACTTAGAGCTTAATAAAAAACTCTTTCCATTTAATTCAAATATCTTCCACATTTCAAAGCCAAAAATAAGGCCAGTTCCTTTGTTAAATCAAAATCCTGCAGTGACAAGTAAAGCTTGCAGAGTTCTAGAAGCATTTTCGCTATTGTTTTTGATTTAAAAAAGGAAAATTCAAGATTCCTTCTGACTATAAAACTTTCCTTTCAAAATTAAGGCTTTTACTTTGTCCTTTTAAAATCATGGAGGTGTCCATTCTTCCACAGTTAGTGGTACAAACACTGCTTCAGCACAGCTCAATGGACACAGTTTTCCTTTAGAACGCTTATTGCACTAAAAGATAGCAAAACAAGTTGTCAGTTTCTTTTAAAAATAAACATGGTTACATTTCTAAAAAATAAAAGTTGATGTTGACCATATGTTCTGTCATCATTAAATTAAAGCATTATTATTACTCTAATAAATATAAAAGAAACAAAAGGAAGCTAAACTTCAAAAACACATACATATGAAATCACATTAAGGTGTGAGAGGCAGCAAGTAAACTAGCATTTCTTTTTTTTTTTCCCAGAAAGACCTCAGCTCTGAAGTTTCAGTTCTGGTGTCTAGTAGATGTCATCCCAGAAAACGTGGGACACTGGATCTCACGTGAAGCTTCACCATATTTGACTTGCCAGATAGAAAAGAATTGAAACTTTTGGACTAGGTAAAACAGCAGCTTTAGTAAATTCACCAGGGAGCAAGACGAGTTTGGATCACTACTGCCTGCACATAATACCACTAGCTTCTCTGTTTGCTTTTAGAAAGGAAACTATTGGAGCCAAAGCTGTGAAGAAAGACACAGAGGCAGCAGTTGGCTAAACTAGGCTCGAATTGCTGGGTTAGTGTGCAAAACATCTTCCCCCCAGTCAGCCGTTTCTAATTAGTGATGTACATTCAAATGTACTTGGATATGTGGACATTCGAATGCTTAATGGCAATATTGAAAGACTCCACACTGCAGTGGGGGTACAAAACTCGTTGTTACTGGGGTTTTTTTTGCACACTTCCCAAACAACCCTTGGGACTGTTCCTCGAGAGGTGCTTTGCTTTTTCGAATTACACCATCAATTTTCTCATTATTCTTTGTTTTTTTTTTTGCAGTTGTGCTGCCGAGCAACTTGAGGTAAAGGCATTTTAAAGAGGGTTAAACTACGAGAGAGTCAAAAAAGAAACGAAACTAAAACATGATGGTGGTGCTGCCTACAGGAGCCCGCACCAAGAAAGCAGTTGGCTGGTTTCATATTGCATAATAGTGCTGTGTTCCTCAATGAAGTAAACAATCTTCCTTGCGTCAATTTAAGGGTTTAGCCTCTCACCCCTGCACAGCATCAACTTCAGCACGATCGGAGGCACACCCCCTAAACCAACCCCACTGGAAACATACATTGTATGTGGCTTAATTGTTCAGTTCTTCCTTTCAGTGAGTATGCTCCCCGTCTGTCGATTTAAGCGAAGTACATCGTGCGTAAGGTGTCCTGGTGAATTTGTACAGCCTTCGCAAGGGCCTGCGGGTCTCTCCCATTGCTTTGTCCTGAAACATGGCTTCCTTCAGCACTGCCACAGAACGAGACAAAAACAAGCAGTGAATCGCGTTAATTCGGATCAAAAAGCTGCCTTCACACCTCTGCTTTAGGTGAGCAACGTGGCAGTAAGTCACAGAACTGGATACCGAGCAAAGGCTGCTTTATTCACCCAGCAACCCCAAGGCTTTTGACATACCCCTTTACCTCAGCTGCTCCGGTTGTTCATCTCAAAATAAGCCTATTACAAATATACTGATGGCTTGAAGCATATAAAATACTCCTGCTGTACAAAGCGGAGGTAAGTAAGCGGAAGGCACTTAACATTTGCTTCATTCATACGTACTCCAATTATATAGCAAAAAAGCCCCTGGATGTGTGGCTTGTTCCCTCAGACCACATTAAAGTAATAACAGAATTCTTCATTAAACTAAACTTCACTCTTTTATTCCGAGTGTTTTTCAGTTGAATCCACCAACCCACTCTCGTCTCATCCTGAACAGCAGCTGTCAGGAAATGAGTATTTTAAGATTAGTCCTAGAGGTAACAAAAATTAACTGCAAAACAAGCGCTAATTACCTGTAGTCAGGTGGCTTTATGCCTGACAATGGAGCAAAGACCAACAGGGAGAAAAACCTCCGGCACCTCTTTTCATTTACCTGTCATGTTCTTTGTCCACGAGATGGTATCGTGCTCTGAATGCTACCAGGTGAGCATAATACGCTGGTGCAGGTATAGAAACTGATCGTGTACAGCGCACATATGTGTGGCAGAGCTGGTAAGTCAGCAGCTGGAGTTCATCTGCAGTAAAACAGTTATCATCCCACAAAACATGATAGTGTGAGGGACGGCTGGTACCCTAAGGAGAAGGGAACATCAATTCACTTATCTGGATTTTCCATACAATCAAGTCAGATGTTTGAGTTCAGAAAGGGCCAGACTATCGAGTCTAAACGCCTGTGTAACAGCAGCCAGAGAAAATACAGTCTTGGGTCAGCCCTAAATGTGTTTATAAAGGAGAATAAGAAGTCTAACATTTACATGATTATGTTACCCCAATTATCCTTGCCTGGAAAAAAACACATGCCTTCTAGATAACCCTCAACGACTGAAACCTGCTCCCAACATGACTAAGCCATGATTACACCAGCTCTTAACTACCTTCAATTAAAACTGTTTCTCACCAAAACACATTTCCCACAGAAGTAACTGCTGCTTTTAACTCTTTACAATTCCTTAGGGATTTCTTTTTCCATTTTTAAGCTGCATCTTAATAGAATTTGTCATTAAGTTGACTCTCCACTGTACTGCTGGCAATACCACCACACTGCTGGATTTAATTCCTCAGCCTGTAAATCACCAGTGTGCATTCAGTCAGCAAACCAGCACTGCCTTCAGCCTTTCAAATGGTTTACATCTGAAAATTTGATTCCACGTTAATTTCATTGTGGCTATAAATCATAAAAGTACTGTGATATCCCAAATAAAACTGAGCTAAATGACATTTCCCTACTAAGTAAGGGTCTGTATACACAAGTGTCACAAAAGGGAGGAAAACATGTTCTAAATTCACATTCACTTATAAAGAAACAGCCGTACCTGTATTCCAGCATGGCTACAGAGGTAAAAATCAAATTCATACGGATGTGTAATGTCTGTATCTACAGTGGTTCCAGCTGGAATATTGCCACTTCGTCCAACCTAGAGGAGAGGTTTGGTTAAGAAGCACAGCTAACAACCGTTTATCCATCTCACCGTGATTACAAATACAAGTTTCTATTCAACCCACGCAAGGTTTCCAGGAATAAGCTGCCTCAGTACAGTCTGCGGTGCGTCAACAGAGCAGGCAGGGACGTCTGACAAGGACACTGTGTGGCACTTACCATCTCAATACAGAACGCTGCACCTAAAGCCCTTCAGAACCTTCAGTCTCAGAAAGGCAGAAGAACTGCACGCACATTTGTATTTGGAATTGTCAGCTGGAGTTTGGACTGACTCACTCAGAAGAAAAGTGATTTTTCCCTTTTGTATTTTCTTCTCTCCCAGTTGCTGCAGACCTGGTTCTACTTTGTCCCACACACATTAGCCACAGTTCATTGACAGACGAGGGCAACGTGACAAAGCCTGCTGGGGATTATGGGGTTTGTGTGTTCTGGTTTTTTAGCATATTTAAGGTCAACCATTTTTCAGTTTTGGGCTGCATTTTGTGCTTATCTATTCAACATCTCCCCTGAATGCAAAGACACTCAGACTCAGGAAAGCCCACACTAATATTTTCCCCAGCAGCTTAAGTGCTTGACATCAAGCTTTTCACATAAGGCTACTATGAGAGAGGGCAATGATTACCCTTTCTGTTCTGTCAGCACAGAACAATCGTGTATGATGTCGCTTCTGCACCACAATATAGGTTATTCCAGGCTGGTAATCCTTCTCCAAACTGATGCAGGCTTCTCTAATGGCTAGCAGTTCATAATACAAAACCTATAAAGACAAGAACGGAATAGTTTAGGCTTTCTTTCCATTGTATCCTACACACAACACCAAATAAATAGTCTGCAGTTAATACTAAGTGCAACTTCGCCACACAGTTAGTAATCTTAGGAAGCAGTTGGAAACATATTTTCCCAAGTTCTAAGACTTTGCCTTCCCAGACTGGAAAGAAGTTGCAACTTTTCTTACCCAACATGCTTAAGAAATTCTCTCCTTAAGTCTCAATTATTTTGTGGTACCTTTGTGTAAATGTAAGGAACTCAAACAGTACAGCTACTCAAACACGAGAACTGGAGTTGCTCTATAGGAACAAAGGCCTTGAACCCACCTGGCGAAACTGTCCTTCAGAGACCCCGTCCCTATAGAAGATGATACGTGTGGGCTTGAACCGTGTTGACTTGTAGAACTGGATGAGGAGCTCTCTCACCATGGAGGCTAGGTCTTGGATGATCTCCTGCCGGGGTCGCTGAACTCTCACTGTGGCACAGTACCGGCTTGGATGAGCATCCATACTACCTACAACCTTCAGGGGAAGATTACATGAGGAAAGGCTTCAGGACCAAATCTATACCCATTAAAATAGCCAAGAAGAGCGACTGTTAAGATATTTATGTTAAAGGATCAACCACAGTAACATGTTCAACAGGAACTTCTGGGAGATACAGGTTTAACACCTTCTGAAAACAGGTATAAAACTTGCCCTCTAAGCACCTCAAAATGAATCTGTAGAATTAGAGTCTGCCAACAATGGCGAGTAAAATACCAAGGGCACAAAATACGAGGGTACTGACCATGCATCCAACCATCACCTTGACCTCCTGAACTGCACCAACACAAAAGGTAAGACTTATCGAAACCATTCCTGCCAAACCAGGCCTTTAATGACAATTTTCTTCTTTAAAGATTCAAAAGTGTTATTAGCTAACATCACAAAGCTGCATCGTTGCCTTTAGAACAGTTTTACAGAAGTACATTATTTAACAGAACTGCCATTTTAGCTTTTTAGTTTTTAACTCAAGGTAAGAAAAGCCTGAAGCATCAAGCTCTTCTAAAGACATGACTTTTAATAACACTGGAAATGTGTACAAAGAACTGGCATAAGCCCTGGAAGACATCTGACACAGCCACAGTCCATGAGCTGCATTTACTGTCCTAACCTTTACCTAAGATGAAAAAACAATGCTAATTGATTAAAAACTTACAGCAGCTATAGAAGGCTTCTTCCCATCTCCAGCAGGAGGGTGAGTGACATCAGCTCCCAAAAAGATCACTGGCTGCTGGAACACAGAGGGTCTTCAAAGAGAAAAAAGGGCTAAGTCACAGTTGTAGGTGAACAGCTGGTGCAAGGTTATTGCTCACTGTGGGGTTTCGATTCTCTTTCAGTTAAGCTGCATGGAGAAGCCTTCTTATCAGGTCCTCTGGCCAAACCTAGGCAATGAAATCTTTGTGCACAGCACGTGAACTTCAAAACACCACCAGAGCAGCCATTCCAAAATACACTGCCATTTACTGTGGCATGATTCTAGTGGAGAAACACCACAGAGCTACACACGAACAGTACAAACAGCTTCCTGCAGAGGCTATCACTCTACAAGATGATTACACTAGCACTTGGAGGTTGGCTAAGCACCACTGAGGTACTGCCACGCTTAAATTTTAGGTGCTAAGTAGCAAATGTAACCTCATCTGTTAAAAGAAACCCCACATCAGTCTCCACAAAGTCTTACCGTTGATGAGGTACAAGGATGTTGTTGATTCCTCCAAGTTTAACATTAATCTTCAGGCACAGATTTGATAGGGTCTGTGGAGATGTTTTAATGACGTTCTTGACTTGAACGCACTGTGTGGCCATTCCCAAGAGTGTATCGCCCACACGTTTCACCTCCGCTGAGAAGCAAACATTAGGATACAACTTGAGTCCCTCTGAAATTATTGCTCTGTTGTGAGCTTAGCTTAAGTCACAATAATTTAAATGTACATACTCTGCAAAACAACTTCTAACTTATCTACCTGCTTCCACGTAATTTTATTTCTGGACACAAAATATTGGTTTCTAATGCCCAAAGAATGATCCTGAAGAACTCTCTAACGTTGCCGGCAGCAAGTTTCTCAGAACAATACTTGACCAAGAAGGTAAAGACAGAAGTATTCCCTTACCATACACTGGGGTTTTCCCTGGCAGGATGACAATGATGAGCTGCAGCCCTGAATAGGTGTTCTTGAGGTGTCGAAACATGGGCTCCACGCTGTCTGCACCCTGGGCGTATTTGCAGAAGCAGGGCTGGCCTTGGATGGGCATCCCTGCGTCCTTGGAGATCTTGCGCAGCTGGTCTGTGAAACCCCTAAGGATGAGAAGTGTTTTGAGTTTTCACAATATCACACAACCACCAAAGCAGAAGGGGACAGAAGAACTGTGCTACTCAAATGAAGACAATTCCAAACAGCTTAAAGGCCAGAACGTGACAAAAAAAAAAAAGAGCTTAGAGACATTTAGTGCTTCATTCAAGATGCCAAAAGAAATTCTACACAAAACAGCAATATCACAGGACCAGAACCCCACAGTGTACTCAGGTGCAGTGTTTTGACTGTAGCTTCCAGTAAGGAAGCAAACCAGAATGGATTCTCTCCCTAATATCTTCAATGATTAAAAGCAGATAAAACCCTCATAGAAGTTCTACATTCATGTTTTTACTAAGATGGCTTCTTCAAAGCCTGAACCACAACATGCCTTACTTCAGTATTTCTTCTCTGCATTGTCTCTGTGTTGCAAAGCAAGCTATGGCCCACATTTTGATCTCTACACCAGTGTGAAACTGCTTCCCTCTCATGTCCCATACTCCATGGCTTGGGGTTGCCACTGTTCGATTCTGTGGAAACAAAAGCAACAGATGTTTAAGTGAGTGAAAGAGGAAAAGGCCTATGTGTGTGGAGTTTCAGGATAACAAAACACAAGTTCTACCGTGCCGACTCTGATCCCTGCATTGCACAATGCAACTGAACTGACTGAAATTGTCAACGTGCACAGGAAACCACTCTTCAAAAGGGAAACAGAATGAGCAGAAACCTCACCCGTCCTCCATACTGCAGCATCGGAGCTGGGAGCACGCGCCCCGTCACATGGGCCATCTCATCCCGGACTTTGAACTGGAACTCTTGAACAAACGGATCTGCATCATAATTTGCACTTCTCACCTAAAAGAAGAGTTTTCCCACGTTACAGAAGTATCTACTTACAATTCATGGAATAAACAAGACTAACAGGATTGCTGCGGAAGGGCTCTACAACCATTCCCTGTTGTTGAACAAGGCTCAGATTTAACTGCTTAATACCATCACATATTTCCAGTGAAAATAATTAATACCAGGAGATATGATACACTGGATAAGGTATTTTGTGTTCCCTTAAGTTACTCAAGTGCTCATCTAGCATGCTCATTCAAAAGCATTTTGTTTCCTCACAGGATAGATCAAAAAGCATCCTCCTTTAGAGACAAGCAAACCCAAGACAAATCAAATCCATTTATTCTAATACTGCACATTCAGGTCTTCTGAATTTTCCAGAACAGCCTTCTTTAATTGAAAAACTATGGCTAATTTGTCAGCTTAAAGCCAGATTGCTTCCAATGAGAGCTATCTGTTTGTAAGAGTATTCAACCAAAAATATTCAAGTTTGGTAATTCAAGTCAGAAAAACACTGATGTTTAGTGTCTGGATTCAGCACTAAGAAACAATATTGGTGAAAATATGTAGTGCTTACTACAGAAAGCAGCCAAACGTCTCAAGTACAGAAGATGCCACCACCTTCAAACTACTAACAGAAAAAAAAGGCCTACCTCTGCAAGCTATTTTAAATAAATCCTCTTTTAAGAAGTAGGTAAAATCTCTTAACTTAAGGGCTGGAAGGAATGCAGAGACAAGGTTGGTCACATCAGAAGGTTTTGCATACATGGTATCTAGTGCAGTGTCATTTAGTGAGCAGTATCACACCAAAGTGAAAGTAAAGAACTAACCAATCTGCTTATTTCCTCCTGCCTATCTGGAGCAGATCTCGCTGTGGCCTTTATCATCGTCGATGTTTGATTGTCTGTCAGTTTCTTGATACACCGCTGGCCAGCTACAATATTACATACCTGAAAGGAAGGCAGAAGCGTCAATACACATTAGGAGCTCTTAGAAACCGATCCCAACATAACATCAATACACACCACTATCACTGCAAAACACATCCCAGTGTGTTTAATCAACTGCATAGTCTTACTTTAAAGCACTAAAGAAGTCTTCAGTGAAATAGAAGAATGAGCATGTAAATATGGGAACATGTTTGTACTGCAAAGCACACAAGTTCTTAAACCTCCTGCAAAGTGATGCAGCCTACCAACAACAAGCTGACTTATCAAAGTAAGTTCATTACTTCTAAAGGCAGGTAGGTGTGTTTCTGTTCTTGTCCCACTTGTAGGCAGGGAAGATGAGGGTACTTCAGCTGGAGGTTGTACTTCTCTCTGAAATACTGTGCTACTGTTCTCTCCACCGTCTGGCCGTTTTCTAACTGTAAAGGAAAGCTGAAAAGACGCACACTTTAATAAAATGGACAGAAATCTTAGCTGGCAAATATCAACACCCTCCAAATTCACACGATGTTAGGCCCTGTTACACATTCAGTGTTAAGGTATCACAGTTTATGCTTTGACAAAAGGCATCTTACGTTTGGTGACTTGCAGGCCTTCTTGTTACATTACAAACGCGGTATTTCCTTCTCATCGTTCCACAGTGAGTCACTTCTACCTTGAGACCTGCAGAAAAGTAGCACAGAAAAAAATGTCACAACTACACAAAAATCTCCACGGGGGACAAGGTTTCACACAATAGAGCATGTTCTACCAGCTTTGATAGTCAGCGTCAAATGGCACAACAGGAGAAATTATATTCTCTAAGCATTTTACTTTCATTATTAATTGATTTCTGACTAATCAGGCATTATCCTCAAAACCAAATCATAATGTATAACATTTAACGTTCAATGTCACCTGAATTGCTTGTAGCAGCTTCATTTAACAGGCATGTGACTAATCTCAGACACAGACACTGTCTTCACCATCTTCTTTTGTTCTCGTTCTCAATGCTGAATGCCTCTTAAAACTAGCAGTTCCCATACAACTGAAACTAAAAGGGCAAAACCAGATTTCTACCTCATTGTTCACTTCCCCAACTTTGTGTCCTCATTCAGCCTGTAATTTTCTTTAATTTCACTGACCAAATTTAACTTGAGCTTTTGTGCAGCTGAAGATCTTGCCTAAAAGCACTCAGCCTACATACCAGAGGCACGCCAGGCTTCTCTCTCTATCCACGATAATAACAGCAGCAACAGTGACAGCTTCAAGAGGCTTTCAGCAGCTCTTTCTACTGACTAGGCACTCACTGTCTGCACTGTACACAGCGAGTAGACTCAACATCTGCTGGGAGTGCTGAGCTTATCACAGGAGTGCTGCACAGCACTGATGCACTGCTGTGTCTTTCCTCAGCCCGTGGAAGAGAAGGCAGTTAAAAACAAAGCCTTGTTATCCAGAAGATCCAACCTATGGTCTACTAGTGAAGGCTTTTGAGGAAGCAGCTGGACGACTTGTCCTGTTAAGGCTCATGCGGACTGTGGGCAATGGACTGAATACCCCACATCAAATCAGGTCCCAAAGTACAAGAAAGCAGATACTGTGTTCAGTTTATCAGGGACACAGACATCCCAAAGACATATCAACCGTATTTCATCGATCCCTGACAACACTAACACCAGCATTAGAGGACGGCATCATCAAAACTAAACTACCACTGCCCTGATACAGCATGAAGAGCAAACACAAAAAAGACACCATGAAGCAGTGTGGCCAAGGAAGAGGGTTGTGAATACGGAGCTATCTGGAACCATTCACTGCTCTGTCATTAATTTGCTGTGACACTACAGAAGGCATTACCCTCCCACAGAGCTGTTCACAGACCGCCAAGTCTTTAATGCAGGGTTTGTTTCACTATGAACATCACATCTTGGCTGGAGTTCCCAGATACTACAGTAGTAAAACCAAATATTGACAGCAAAGGTAACCTCTCGAGGTTTTCTGACTATGGTAACACAGTGTCTGAGGCATCCAAGATCAAGCAGAGACAGCTTCTCATTCTCCAGAATGAAGACAGATGGGCAGATGTAAAAAGGAGGCATGTGAGGACAGCTACAAAATAATTACATTTTTTTCCCCCCAATGACTGTTCTAAGTTTATTATTTCTAAATTCTAACTTCAAATTTACTTTTTTGCTGCCCAGCATTTCAATAGAATCTAATCCTGCATCAAGTAACACAAGTATTTGAGAGCGGAGCTTTAGAGAGCTATGCCCTTTCAAGGCTTTTCTCTCTGCAAATTACACTGGAACAAAAGGATATGGGAATACTCAAAGTAAAGTAGCATATATGGAGTGAACCTACTCCAACCAGCAGCTTATGCAATTTCTTTGGAATGCAATTTGGCCCTCAGCTGCAAGTTTGCAAGTGGTACTTGTTTTTCCATAAAGCAATCAGTTACTTTCAAAGAATCAATGATGTTAGCTTGGAAATCAATTTTCTCATTGCCTTGGCATTTAAACAGCAGGAGCTCTACAGAACAACACAACCGTGGCCTCAGTGACCGTCGCTTATATAAGGCTGGTCATCCAGCGAGGCAGGAGCACTTACCTCTACCCAGGCAGTAAACAACACGCTTTCCTTTGCCCTCTTAAAGCCACTGGGAACATACAGCATTTTTAATCTCTCTGTAGAGCTGCATTGTTTCATTCAGGATAAGAACCACAGACAGGGCATACTGCAGTTCTCTTGGCAGTTCCAGGGCTCTTCTGATGCATGCTAACCAGGGTTCCAGTTAAAACAAAACCCTTAGAATCAGCCTGATTGTGTTACGTGGGACAGAACAGATCTGTTCCTACTCACCCTTTATCTCTTTGGTGAATTTTACCCGATGAGAATCAGTCAGAGGTCTTGGCTGTTCATCAATATTATGAATGTCAAGAACTTCACACATAAACTGAATTACAGGTTGTGCTTTGTAGAAGGCAGTGGCAGAAACTAAAAGGAACAAAACATTCTGTGTCAGAAAGCCCAAGTGAGGCTGTTGTGAGGCAGTACATAAATGAGTGCTTTTGAAAACTCCACGTGACCCTCAAGCAAACGTGCAGCACACTTTCTTAAACAGATTAGCAAGCCTCGCAACAACTGAGTACACAACAGCCAGCGTGGGGCCCACAGTGACTCGGTCTCCAGCACAGGCATTCTGCAACCACTTTGCGTTTCAAGGTTTTGAAAGGCTTTTTCCCCAGATAACATTTATTTCTAGAGAACGGTAATGCCCCAGAGAGATGTTCTCTTTCAACTCGGTATGGAGCTGCGAGCAGAGGCATTATTAATGTCTCTCTGCTGAAGAGTTCACATGAAACGCTAAGATTATTCAATATGCAATATAATTTTGTCAATGATATGATCTGCTAAGTTCCTAAAACAATATTTCGTAGGAACATGAGCACTATTTTGACTGTGCATCAATTACATTAGTGTAGTGGTGAGTGCAACCGTTGATCTATTAAAATCTCTTTCCCTCCCTGCATACTAATGACACATTAAGTGACAATATACTGTTTCTGAGCAGGGCAGTTAACTCGTTCCATGGCAAGGAGACCATAAACGATCTGCTTGACAAAGTGACAAGCAACGGAAACCATACCTTTTGGTAGGAAAGGGGAGGTGGCACCAGATGCAGCTCAGATACAAGCAAACTGCTCTGTCCTTTTAAAACTTTAAGGGGCAACAACAGAAAAGAAGCACCTGACCAGCATTTTCTGAGCTTTGCAGATCTCATGTCCCCAAACCACCACATCCCTGCACTGATACACAAAACATTCTTCAGAGATGTGTCACTTCAGGAGGCTGCCAACTTCACACGATGCACCCGGCCCACACCTCCGGATGTCGATCACTGAATGAACACAGCAGCTTCCCCCCCCAGCCCCAGCTTTGGCTCCCACAGCAACGTGAGTGACACAAACACATTCTGCAGAGAACCTCGCACAAGTTCAACAACTAAGCCAAAACTCAAGCACCGGGATTTGGATGTAATCTTCACAGCCTCAAACCCAAACCACAACACGAAGCCAGTGCTCTGTAAACCGCAGCTTACACGGGTCTGAAGCTTCCCATTCACAGAAAGGACTGAAACATTACTACTGCAAGAGTTACTTGCTATGCTTTAATGCTGGTAAGACACACTTGCTTCACAGAAAGTAATAAATTGATGTAAATTAATACTCTTGTCTCACCTGAATCGTAGTTATTGCAGTCCCTACCACACTGATACCGGTACTAGTTATTTCTCAGGTAGGATTTCTACATCCATTTTCAAACAATAGCTATACTATAGCTGCTGACTGAAAGGCAATTTTACACAAACTATGAAGTCACACGGGTACCATCCACAACTGAAGTAAACCAGAACACATGGACTTGGAAATTTTCAGCCTGAAAGCTCAGTATCACCTGCAATGTTATTATGCTCCAAGACAGATGCTAAGCGTAACCTGACAGAATGCTCAGCCTCATGCAAAAAAGACAGACTATTTACCTTGGGTTTGTAAAGCATTTCAAACAGACAGCGAGAACAGAATGTGAATTGGAGAAAACTTTAGGCAGCACCTGCATCTCAAACGCTGACATTCTTCAATAGGGGTTTAGCAACTAAATAGACTCAGAGCTCGTAGAGAGCCAGGGAGCCTGACACACGCACCAGTTGATCTCAGATGCATTCATCTGGGGCTTAATAAAGTGGAGCAAAGCAGATCTGAGTTTGCATAAGAAAGCCCTTCTCAATTAGCCCGATTCACAAAAGTGTTTGTGATAAAGTTTACAGAGTTTTCTTGCCAGTATTGAACAACACCTTCTGTGGGCAGCTGCACGGAGACACATCTTAAGCAACTGGCCTGAACCACTGTGGATGCAGCAACACAGAAACTCAGTAAGGAAAACAAGCTATGCCAGGCTTTTCCTTCCTATGTAGGATTTTAGGGTTATTGTTTTTTTTTTAGTCTGGCAGGTACATTTCTGCCATCACTGACACGATGACAAATCCAGAAAAGGACTGGGATTTCTAGGTAGCCTTTGTCATATGGGTCTGGTCTGAAGTGACTGAACAGGAAGCCAGTGGAGGCATACTTACACTTCATCACTGCAATCTCGCTCTACTATTATCATTACAACTTCTGCAATAGGTTGACTTCACAGTTAATGTATTTTATATGGATATTACAAGAAAAAGCTACTAAATCTCCCAACTCAGCAATGAGACAAGGATTTTTCAAGTGAAAACCCCTTGTGTATAATGCAATTAAGTTTTAAGCTTTTTCTATTCTGCTATAAGTTCTAGCAAAATACCCCTGAGCTTCTTTAACTCTTCATTATCTACAGTATGAATGAAGAAATCAGTGTAGAAGGTAGATCCTGGTTACTAAATCCTCTGCACTGATGGCACCAAAAGTTATCACCACAGAGAAACGTGGTTACCACCAACTCAAGCAAAATGACTGAATGCTGAGATCACTTATTCTTCAGGGCATGGTCACCATTACCTTTATTCCTAACCCTGAATCCAACTTACCATCAATATTGAGCATCATCTTCCACATGGCAGGCCGAACAGACTGATGGAATCCAAACCAGACCTCCCTACCTCCACCCAAGGGGTGATCATAGCCTTCTGGAGCTGAGAAAAAGGAGCGGCCCACAGGGGTATACCTGGTGAAAAAGACAAGCACACGGTCATGCTATGGCTTTCCAAATAAAAAGTTCTATCATAAAGATTAGAATATGCAGCATTGTTATTCTGGGTGGGGATTTTGTGCACCAGAAATCCGTGCTAAGAACCAAGTTTAAATGATAACACTTCAAATGCTGCTGCTCCTGTTGCAGTGGTTTTAAATGGAGACAAAACATCCACTGGTTTTAGCAACGACCTTCAGTTTTCACAACAAATCAAGGACTAAGTTAGCTTGCCTTTTCTGATCTTCCACTTCAAGAAAGTATAATCTCCATCACAGCAGGTTTTGTACAACAGCACTGTACACACTGGACTGACCCTCAAACCTCATTGTACGTGTTTTAAAAAGGACTCTGGGAAATGTAATAACTATGGTGGAAACAAAGAACCAGGGAAAGCCCTGCTTCTCTCTCAGAAAACAGCTGCTAAGGAACCTTCATGCCTCACTAACACCTCTGCTGCTCCCCCAGGATTGTGGGAGGTAAAGCCAGCAAGGAGCTTTATTTTCACTGACCAAATAAAGCAAAATCACTTTGGCCTTCTCTAATGTTTCAGGGTTCTGAGATAAAGAATCACAGACTTTGTTAGGACACGTATCTAGTCTCCACTGTGTTTTTAAAATGTGAGAAGCATGCACCATTGATGGGTGTTATGGATGAATTAAAGACTCGTGCTTTCAGACAGTCACTGCCATCAAGTCACCCTACTTGGCTTGAGTTGAGCAGAAAACATGGAAGCAGTGCTACAATCCCTCAGTATTTCAATTAAAGGCTTATTATAAGTGTCTCTTATTTCTTGAGCTGTTCAAATACATCACCTGCTCTGGAGCCTACATGTCTACAGAAACCCACACTTGTGCATAATTGGCTTTAATCCCCTCAGTCAGTCCAGCTAACCAGCTGTGCTGCATACGGGGAATGATCATTTTTGTCTTTTCACCTGTGAACAAACAGGGATGAAGGTCTCCCACTGGGGATACTTCAGGTATAGACAGACTGCAGGAAGACAGTGAACCTACTTCATGGAGGGTAGGTGTCGTAGCACCACATCGACAGCATGAACAGGGTTAGTGCTGATAGGTTTGTCTAGTTCCAGAGGCTCAGGCAAGGTTCTTCCTGTCAAAACTTCATGCAGCAAGTGCCAGCTCACCCGAGAAACAAACTTTATTGACACTTTGAAGGGACGATCTTTTCCACCTTCCCCTGGCAATGTCACATCCAAATCCACCTGCGTGTGCGAGAGGGAGAAAGAAAAGGCAGCTGTTTAACCTGAGCCTGATGGCCTTGAGATTCCACTCCTTCCAAAACTGGGCCAGAGACTCAAAACCTCACATATTTAGGACAGAGCACATCTGATAGAAGTAAGTTATCAAATACACAAAACAAAGAGAAGCGGGTCCTCACCAAGCACAAGAGGATCACATAACTTTTTGCCATCTTGAATCAGAAAACTCTTCATCTCAGAGAAACTGTGGTTTGGTTTTTTTTAATAGGGCTTAATAAGATAATGTATTAGTCTGTAAAACCGAGTATTTGATAGATTTTTCTGTAGAAGGAGGCTGCTAAATTCTCTCTGAAGGCAGATATTGCATGCATATTTACATACGTTGGTAGTTGCAGGAAATACACCAGAAGAACTCCATTTCCACACAGATGCTGTAAGTCAATTCCAGTTTTTCTGAACTCAGCAATACTGGAAGTTGGGTTTGTTGCTTTTCCTTTCCTACGAAGCTATTACAGGTATATTTTTGTTTCTAGTTCTTACCCCAGTAGTGGCCACAGGCAGTGGATTGGCTGTATAGAGGCTTCTTTTCCCATCATAAACTGGTCTACGGTCCCCAAATATTGTCACTTTAAAATGCTGCACCATTGAGTCCACCACCTCCCTGGAAAAGGTGATATTTACATTGAAGATGTTTCCAAAGAAGTATCAGACTGCAACCGGCTCATTTCAACAAACATGACTTGAGTGAATTATAGAACACCCACTGGTGCATCAAAAAGGGGCTTCACGTACATCAACTAAAATCACAGATAAACACTAAAGAGTAAAATCAGAATTAATGCAAATGCTCAAATACTGGAAAATACTGTTATTGAAATCATTTCAGAAAGTCCTAGAACTGAGACCTTCATATAACCTTTATTATAGGAAACAAGGACACGCTTACCTTGGAAGAAAACCACAAGATAGTATTATGGAAAGCCAGTACAAACTCCCAACTGAAAGCTCTGCCAGTTCATGGACGCAGTAAACTGTTATGTCTACCCAGTAACCTCCATCTGCTCTTCCATTCAGTTATGAATTCTGCCCACACTGTATACAAAAATGAGGTACCCTAAAAATGGCTTAGCTTCAAATTGTTAACCTCAGTTTTTACTTCAAAATCAAGTAAAAGCCTGATCAAATCTGCACATAATTACAGATTCTCCTAACTTACTTTAGTATAAGCTGGTGGCAATAAAGAAAATAGCAGGTTTGCTGCCTGCATCCAACCAGTTTTCTCAGTTTAGCTTGACAAAAACCAGATGACTGCTTCTACCAGTTGATAACATGACTAAGGAAGACAACGTCTTTACTGGTAGAAGAGAAAGTTGATGAGCTTCTGGACAAAGTTACACCTAGGCTATAGCAACCAAATCTAACAATAAGAAACCTCAAAAAGCACTTAAAACTAACTCTGGTCTATAAAATGCACTTCTGAGAACCAACCAACTTTCACACAACCTAACAAAAGCCTAAAGGAACAGTTAGAACCTCAATCCGAGACTCAGAAAAGGCATGCAAAGGTTTTACCGGCTGTAAACACGCTCTTCAGCAGATGACCGTTATTTAGGTGAGCAGGAACACTCAGCATTTCACAAAGAGTTACTTTACAAACCCAAACCAAATGCTTTTGCCTCTCTCCCCATGAACTGAAAGCTTCCGAAGACGCAGGCTTTATCTAATGCATAACCAGCTAAAGCAAGCTATGACAAACAGCTATTCCGGGTCTGGAAATCACCCTACAAATGGCACCACAGAGGGGTTTTTTCCTGCATACTTGAAATAAAATTGAGTTGCCATTTTAAAAACAACTTATTTCAAATGCTCTTTTTCTCAAACAGCTGTAATTTCTCCCACTGTTATGGAAACAACTACACAGATTCACAGACTGCAACTGCTGCAGTTCTTTACAGCTTTGTCTCCCTCAGCCTATTTTAATCAAGCATGGCCATACAACAGACAAAAAAATGGGTTTAGATAACTGATTTTAAGTGAAATGATACTGATCCTCATTAACAGATCACGCTAGGAAAGAATGAGGCATACAAATCACTAAGTTCAGAGCAGCTGATATTCTCCTTGTATCTCCACGGACACAGCTTCACAAGCATCCTTCATTTACAATACAGGACTAAATGAACCTTTGATAACTGTACGATTATATTAAGTATTAATTCACACAGAACCATTCTATCCCAATTTTAGCAATTTATTACTCTCCTTTTAATGAATCATAGCTATTTGAAGAGCCCTCATACCTGCAGCATGCGGGGGGGGGGGGGAATCACCGGCCAAAATCAGGCCCATATGAGATGACATTGTTAAGAATGTAAAAGAAAAAGTTACAGATGAAAGAGGAAGAAGCTGCTTTTCAGCTACCCTCGACTTTCACTGATGAAACAGATTTCACAATACAGGAAATACAAAACGTTGTAACCTTTTTGAAAGCAAGAAATATTGTCTCTCCAGAGTCAGGATTTCAGTTAGCTCCTCTTTCTGAGGTTTCTCTGGCTCCCAAAACTTGTAAGGCTTAGGACAAAATACACAAAGACCAAACACAAACAGCTGTACCAGCAACCCAGCACTCAACACATACAGTTTGCTGGATCACTAAATGATCAGGGATACAGAACATGACAATATTCTCTCCATTTAACCAGCAAAGTGGCCTAGCATGGGATTTAACTGACCCTAATATATTCCAGACACGAAAATAAGATGAGATACAACGTGCTACATGGAATGGTATAGCAGAGACAGGACATAGGTGGAGCTTTAACCAAGACCATTTCAAATATACTGATTGCAGGAAATATCTATTAACAAAGGGAAAACCAGTTTGTTGCTTAACTATTTCAATATAACTTCCAATACAAATGTCATCTTCTTACCTGTTCACCCTCCGAGGACACTTATCTGGTTTGATATCCACCTCATAGAGGTAGACATCAATCTTTGGGATTTCAACTTGGAAGCAGTTGGCCAGCAGTTTAATGGGTTTGCCCATGGTGCCATAGCCAGGACGTCTGGGCACCATGAGGAGGGGCTGGGCCCCGACGGGTCCTGTGGAAGACAAAACCAGCACCGCTTAGGAGAGAAGCACAACAGAAGCTGTGTTGCAAAGGTACCACCTGCTCACGCTTCAGCAGTTTAAAAACACATAAGGCTCCTTGTGTTTGCAGGTACACGTCCTTGTACCCCATTGAGCTTACTGATGTACTGCCCTTTCTCAGTCTCAGGCAATTCCCTGAACCAACGCACTGGACAACCAGGAAGACAACAGAGCCAGCACGCTGGAAGAAGGGAAGATTACCTGCATCAAACAGCACACATCAAACAGCAGGATAACCTATTAAGTTCCAAGCACTTGCCTGTTTTAACTCCTTGAGCCCCCACCCACATCTAGCCTGTTTTCTTACTGATGAGTTTCAGCTCAGATTCAGATGAGCATGAAGAAAATCACATTCCCCTAACCCACAAAACCAACGTTGCTTCTCCTTGTAACACTTTACTATTGTGGAAAGCCATTAAACACAAAACGTTTTACAGATCTCTTCTGAACATCCCAGTAATAACAACGTTGCGCAGAATAAGAGACTGATGCACGTTGTTTGTGATAAACTCTTCATTTCATCATCATCACTAGCTTAGTTTTGGAAGTCAGATTATTCCTGAACTTTTCTGGCTGAAAATGGATGACGAGTAAACCCACTGCCTCCTGGCTAACTGCACTGCCAAAGCCGACCGGCCAGAAGAGGAAAGACACAGATTAAGATACGGGATTTAAAACTCTTGATTACTTCTAAATTAGGGAAGAATTCCCATAGCTGCCTAGAGAAACCATCAACATCTGCAATAAGGGATGGGTATTTGAAAGGCAGCTAAACCCACCTGTCCAGTAATAGATGTTACATTCCCCTCTGGTTATCTGTTTAATTCACTTTGCATCATTTAGATGAGACTACTCAGCTCTGGGTTACTTCTGCCTCACAAGACCAAACACGGTAATGAACACAGTCCGCTTTCAACAATTTCTTACTGGTATCTCCACTTGGAAATCTCTCTTTCCAGACAAGAAACAACAACAAAAGCAAAGCGCTCTGTAGCCCGAGCTTCACAAAAATTACTCATTGTACAAATGTCATGATTTAGAGAGCATTCAATTAAGTGACTTTAAAGTTCTCCCCTCTACTCCTACTCAGTGACGCAGACAGCGACTCCAGCCCCCTCATTTTCCCGGAAAAGTTAAAATGTCAAGTGCTGGTAAAAATGTCGGATTTGTCTTTTTATTAATCTCTATTCCTGGAAAAAATCACGGCCTTATCTTGAAGGAAACCATGTACTGAGAACAGGTGAACATCAAAGCGAGGGGAAATTTGTCTGCCTTTACTCAGAAACCTCCCCAAAACTTCTGAGTGGGCTTGGCTTCGAGCCACAAAGCAAAACCATGAACCAAGAAGCATCATGTAAAACACCCTCACAGCCTATGCTTACACAGAACTTGTTCCAAGCATCTGTTCTTTTCAACTTTTTCTCCATTTTAATACTGTCACCCGAGTAAAAGCAGCTCTACAATTTACTCCAGATATATTTTCAGAATATAAGCATATGCAGAAAGTTACTACTAAACATTTGAGTGACACAAATGACTCAATAGCTTATTTTAATACTACGAAGACATACAAACCATGGTTTCTATTTAGTTCCTATCTGTAGGAAATGCTAACAAACCTGCTGGAATAAAGGTAACAGCAAAAGGCTGCTGTAGTCTGGTCTGCCCTGTCTACCCTCCTCAATGACTGAAAAGTGCAAAACCAGTTGCTAAAATACATAAGCACAGAAGAAAGAGTGGAAATTCAATCTTCATGAGGGTTAGGGGAAGAAGAGCATGGGAAATACGGTGTGGCTGAAAACTTTCTCACCACCTCCTCTGGAAGCTGCATCACGTAGAACTTATTAACTGGTAAGTTCCTTTATGGGAATGCTACCCCGTTGTTCACCCTCTAACAGAATCCTAGTGATCAGCTGCGCAGTGGCAAAATCCTGATCTGAGGCAGGGCGCTGCAAAATCCTGGGCCACAGAAGAAACGCTCTGCCCAAAGCCAAGGACGTGAGCAGGCCTCCAAGCTCTGCTCCTTGGAAAACAGCAGCGAGCTGAACTCCAGAACAGCAGGAGTGAGACAAAGGCTTTCTTCAGCCTCCCCTGTTCAGGAAACGGCTCACCCTGGAAGAAGTCAGAACCCAGACTGTGGCAAACGGGACTGAAACGACCAATACATGAGGAAGAAGCGCAGGCCCACGCACTATCCCAGAACAGTTTTTAAGAATTAATCTGATTTTGCTATCATTTTGTGTGATGCATATGCTTCCTTGAATCAGTTCTCTTCAAAAAAAAAAAAGGAGTACGTTGTTAATTCAGCTCTGCTCCCAGTGCCCAAGCCCACCAGCACCCACTCGGAATATCCTGCTTTCCAAGTGCACCACGCTGCCAGACCGTACATTGTGAAAGTCTGTGTCACTGGCTTCAAACCTGTGACTCAAACCCCAGTAAAACACAAATAAGAAGCGACGCTCTTCAAGGCCAGCTCCTGCTCCTGTATCGCAGCCGTGACTCACTCCACCTCATGCCTAAGTCCTGTGTCAAGCTAATGGAAATAAACACACGACCCAAAAATACTGAAAGCAGTATTATTCTAACTATCTCAGACTATGATTGGCAGCCTCATTAGTTCATGCTATTTAACCATTGCAAATCCAAAGGCTCTAAAGCTCCAAAAACCCTTTGCAAAAGGGTTACGGCAGAGCGCGCAGCCTCTTCATGCCTTTCACTATTGAGTTGCCCACAAGTTTTAGAGGAGAAACTCCTTTGGCTCCAAGAAACTATTGTTACTCTGCCATTCGTTAAGTACAGATGCCTAGTTATGTTCTTAAAAATCCAAGATAAAACATAACCCGAGCGTGTTCAGCCTGCCAGAACAGCACTTAATTCCTAACACCAGTTAAGGAAAGTCCCCAGCGTTGACAAGTCAACTGATTTATAACACAGAACAACAAATACCCAGATAGGAACTGCAACGAATGCTTCAGATTCTTGGAAGGCTTTTATACAGCAAAGAAGTACATTTCAGGAAGATACAAGATCCACCACTAAATAACTTGAACCGTCTGAATTTTACTCCTTACAGAACACGCTGGAAAAACCTGCAACGGAAACATTGAACTGAGCATTTAAATCGGTAATAACACAAGGCAAGAAAAAATAACCTCTTTGGGAACTAAAGGTATATCCAGTTATAAATTACCGTTCCTAGCATTTGCTGAAGTTATTCATGGAATCATAGCAGAGTTTGGGCTGGAAAGGACCTTAAAGCTCATCCAATCCCAACCACTGCACGGGCAGGGACCCCTTCCACTGGAGCAGCTTGCTCCAAGCCCCTGTGTCCAACCTGGCCTTGAGCACTGCCAGGGATGGGGCAGCCACAGCTTCTCTGGGCACCCTGTGCCAGCGCCTCAGCACCCTCACAGGGAAGAGCTTTGTCTAATACCTAATCTAAACCTACTTTCATGGACATCTACCTCCAGGTTCATTATGAACATCAATCACCAAGGCCAGAAGACTTTTCTTTTCCTCACAAGTGAATGCTCGACAGGCAAGTAGAAGCAAAAGCCCTTACAAGATACCAGCAAACCAGACAAATACTAAACCAGGAATGTTCCATCTCCTCCATTTACCAGCAGCACCCAGTGATGTACTGCGTGACCATGCGCTACACGTTCTAAGTGGGTATCTTGAGTCCCTGTTGCATATTGCAGGGGATTTACACCAGTATTTCCCATGGGCACATAAGGGATATCACTGCTCCAGCCCAACACACACAGGACCATGATCTGTGCTGGTCATTTACGCCTGCCGCACCGGGCTGAGTGACACGTCAAAGGTCTACATCCCACAGCTTGCTACTGAGAGAGGGAAGATACTTCGATTTGAAGAGCTTTGCTCTGATTGAATCTACCATTCCAACAAAACCCAAAGAGAGAAGAAAAAAAAGAACTGTCACTTTTCAAGGGCTTAATGAGGAAAGTAACGTTTCAAAACGGTAAAGAACGTTCGCTCAAATGAAACGGCTTGGTTATGAAATACGTTCTGAGGGAAACGCTCATCCCAATACTGCTTTTCCAAAGAGCTGAAGTTTGGAGGACCATTAAAAATACATGGACAACGAAACTGATTTCAAGCGTGACTATGTGGCACCTCTGCCAACAGACCTGTTTCCTCTGACAGAGCTTGAAACCAGTGGAGATCTGCAGTTGTCAGTGTTCAGACCCCCAATTCTCATTCAAAACAGATAATATTCCAGACCAACATGGAAGCCCCTCTAACGGCTGAAATAAGCTTTGAATCAGATGCTGCTCCTCCACGGAATTATAGATGTTATAATAAAGATTAAACACAACAAAAATTGACTGTAATCTCTATGGCAATGCAGCCAGCAGTATAGAACACATCTGGCGTGCATCCAACGCACAGGCTTGAATCTACCTAGCAACCAAACGAAGCCTTCATCGGAATAAAGCCTGAACAGAAAGAGCAGAAGCACAGAAACCTGCAAATACTTTCACCAAACCGTTTTACAGCAAACTGGAGCTTTTGGCATGCAAGAGGGCTTTACAGTGCGAAGCAAAACACTGATTCCTAACAAGATGCTAATAGAAAATACAGATTCTGTCACATGAGCCTTTCCTCACAGAGAGACAGCACCACATTTCCAGCAAAAAATAACCCTCTTTCCTACTGTGCCTTCAGCATTATAAACCCCCAAAATACGAACAGTTGATTACTTACTAGTTTTGGTTTTGCCTATACACCAGATCTCAATCTCTAACTGAATGGGTGCCTGAGCAGCCCCGAATGCATGATAGAGGACTTCACAGGTGAAATATCACTTAAGCTCTGGCTCAGTAACACAAGGCAGATTTTGTCTACCAGCTCCTGTCCTCAGGCTGGAGCCTGCACATGGGAGAAAGCTCACCATGGAGAGGATGGAGGGGGAAGAAAGCGATTCCCTTTCAGAGGGCCCCTGGCCTCTGCTTGGGCTCTGAGGCCCAGCCTGTGGAGCTCACAGAAAACCCTTTTGCTACAAAAAAATAATTCTAGATTAAAAAAATAGATGGGGAAGATGATATTTAAATGGTGGTTCCGATAATCGCGCTCTTCCTTACGCCAGAACTCCTAAATTGCCTCCTTTCTGTAGCTGCAGCCTCGCTGGATGGCATTACATTATTTATGAGTAACGCAATCCACGTTTCCTCAACATTCCTACTCGCAAGTTGGACTTTTTTGCTTTGAAGTTTTTAGATAATAAGTCATGTTAAAACCCATCAAAAGGCAACATTTTGCTGCCGCGATCATTAACAGCCAACTGCACAAGCAAATACCAGAGTGCTGGCTTGCTCTGGCCTAACGAAGCTCCAGAAAGCACAGGGAAGTGTTCAGGAAGCATTTACAAGACAATAAATGCTTCTGAACCATTGAAAAAATCTCATCATAAATAACTTTAAGCTCAAAAAAGCCACTTATATGCCCCTTGTAAAGTTAATGGGAGAAGAGAAAATGCAACGCTTTTCCCTTGAACGTATTTCCACACGCCTACCTCAGGAAGTTAAACTGACACAATCTTTATTGTTGTGGACAGGTATACCACGTTTTGCCACCAAATGAAACCTTTACTAATGTACCTGCATTTACATCAAAGAAAAAAACACTTTATTAGGAAATAGGCTGATTTTCATGCACTCATTTTTATTTTCCTGGCTTCGTATTTACTGGTTTGAAAACTACGTAATTCCTTCCCGTACTCACTACCTCTGGATTGCTGCTCTGGAGAGCGAGATGCGCTGTCCATAGCATCCTGGAATGGTCTGGGTTGGAAGGGACCTCAAAGCCCATCCAGTTCCAACCCCTGCCATGGGCAAGGACACCCTAAGCTATTTATGTTTCAAGATTAAATGCAAGCAGTCCCCTTGTTTTCAGCTTACTGCCTGAGAAATATCTCGGAGCAGAACACTGGGATCCCAGACACAGTCATATCACTGAGTTTAGAGAGCCTCCTGCAGCATAAAACACAACTTCATGTTATCAAAACATAATACTAACATTCCCTTTACCTCCCAACAAGTTCTGCACGTGAACAAACGTGAAAGAAACAATAAATCCATGGCAAACATCACTGCTTTCAGAAGAATGCACTGCAGCACAAAGAAATGAGATCCTGTGACTGAAGAACACGAAGAACCAAACGGACTTGTGTCCAACTAGAAACTCTTCTTTAATTAAGAGGTAAATGCTTTGCATGACAGTTTGGTTATACAGTCTAATGAGAGAGAAAAATGTCTTCAGTTATCAAGATATCTCTGATCACTTGGCAGCTCTCCCTGTCTGCTGCTGCTTCTCACTCCCAATTCAAGCCAGGTCTTTGGACTCTCAGCTGCATTTTCCTGTTACCCAGTAAAACTGCAAACCACTGGCTGCAAGCTGACTCTCAGCTCCTCGTTGCAGGAATTGTCTGGAGTTAGCTACAGTGGGAAACTGGGGTTCCATCACAGTGTTGTTAAAACACGTATCAGCTGTGTTGAAAGGCAGATAACCACGTATTCCTGTCATTTCCTTCTGCTTCTACTGGAAATCAGCTCAAGAAATATCCCAACACCTTTACCACTGAGGAAGTGAAGCAACAAGGATGAAACACTGGTAAAGCTCACCCTGTGAGTCAAACAGCGTCCACCACAACTCCAGAGGAAATCTTCCATTGTATCTCACACCACACAGAATAACTTTTGAGGGCACCTATGAATCATTCCCCTTCCCTCCTCTACCCCACCCACAAAAATGTGGCTTTTAATGGTCCTCCCAAATCACTGCTCTTCACATGGAAAGAGAGAAGCAAATTCTCAGTGGTTTATCTGCCCCAAGTTTGAATAGAAAAGTGAACAGAGGATTAAATGTGTCTGTAATGCTTCATTAAAGCACACCACACTGCAGTAAAATAACCCAAGCACAACAGTTTGACACTTCTAACACAAAAAGCTGTGAACGTTGATGGAACAAGTTATGAAACCCAAGGGAGGACATACGGAGCACTCTTATTTGACTCATTTATACCCCAGAGCATCCACAGGCCCACTGTTTTAATGCACCTGACTTTTGGAGGCCCACCTGGCACCCTCCTGGTGAAAGTGCGACGCATGGCACTGAATGTGAGCTCCTACCAAGAGCTGCTTTTTTGCAGCGAGCATCTTACAGCTGTTCCTCAGTTCCCGGGACTTCACCATCACCAGCTCTCCAAACAGCCGGCTTCACATCCTTCTACTCTATGTTCAAACCACACGGACTAGAGGAGGCACGCTGCCTGGATTTCACAGACCAAGCCTACCACACAAAGAGGAAGACACCTACAGCACTGCTTCACCCGGCACACGCTTCCATTCTCTACTCCAGGTATACTCACAACCCTATCCTTGTTTCCCCACTCTGATTCTACCCCGTATTTTCCCTTCACAGCCGCAAATGGAAGCGCATCAATGCTGCTCTCCTTTCATGACAGAACTTGAACCCTTATTTGCTCCGCCAAGGATGATTTGTGTCCCCTTGTGCCAGCACTGTGGCTACATGGTTCCCCAAACCATGGAATGTTAACATCTTTGTTAACATTACCTTGTAACACTGCAGATGTCGAAGGACCATCCATGGTGCTGGACATGGCACTGAGCAGGCTGGGCCCCTCTGGAGCAGTGCCTCACAACCCGCTTTCCTAAAAGCTAGTGCACTGTAGCCTAACACAAGTGAACCTACACCAAAGAAAATTACAAGGTTTACAAGCTACCCTTACAAATCTCTTGCTTAGCAGTCAACCAGAACTGCACCAGTTTGAATTAAAAGTTTATTTAACAGATGAAGCTTAAGGCTGAACTCCACCGGAGTGCTAAAATCCAGCAGCTTCCTAAAACAGTTCCAGCTCCAGCACAGCTTAGGTGGCAAGTTTCTGCAGCCAAATCCATCATTAACTTCACTCTCTGTGTGCGTTACAGAGGTACCTCCACAGGAGGAGGTGAAAACGCAGGAGCTGCATGGGCAGCTTCAGTCTCACGCTGTGACCAGCTCTTGGGGTGACAGACACAGAACTCCAGGGAGCTCTCACCCTTCCCTTCACCACCCAGCTCCATCGCGAACACTGCCCAAACCTGAACTGTCCTTCCAGTGTCCCGTCAGGCATGGGCACAAACCCTCTCGATAACCTCAAGTTCCGACTCTCAAGGCACGTTTTAACCATGGGGTTTATAACGACCGAGAGCAGCGTCCCATACAAAGGGACCAAAGGACTGCAGGGAAACCCCCGAAGCTCTCAGGCTGGACACGGTGCAGCAGCAGTCCCAAAAGCCTGAAAACTCCCATGCCCAGCGCCCGGCCGCACGAGGGGCAGGCCCCGGATCTGCCCGGTGCGGGGAGCGGAGAGCGCACGGGTCCCGCAGCGGAAAGCTCCGGTTTTCAGGGCGGCATCTCCCAGGCACCATCACTTACCGGATTATGCAAGCGGGCCTGCAGCCGCCGCCCGGGAAACACGAGTTATGAAAGACGGGAAAATTACTCCTCGGCACAGGGAAACGGGCGGGACGCGGTGACCGGGTCCCCCGCGACGGCAGCGGGACCCCCATGGGGGCTCCGGCGGCTCCTCCCCGCGCGGGCACCACACGGCGAACCCGCTCCGCCGGGACCCGCGGCACAGCGCCTGCCCGCCAGGCGGGAGCCGGGGCCGGGATGGGGTAGGCGGGGGAGGGGTAAAAGCCGCGCGGTGAAGCCCGGCCAAACGGCGGCGCCCCCCAACCCCGCGGCCGCCCGCGCTCACCTGCGCTGCCGATTTCCATTCATGGAGCTGGGCGCAGCCGCTGGGGGCTGCGGGCTCCGCTGCTCGGCCGGGGCGGCCCCGCTCCCCTCAGGCCGCGGCCCGGCGCGTCCCCTCCGCGCCCGCAGCTCCCGCTCCCCTCAGGCCCGGAAGTTGCGTGTCCGCCCCCGCCCCCGCACGCGCCGACCCCCTCCGCGCTCCCCGCACCGCCGCGCGCGCGCGCGCCGGAAGTCCCGCCCCCGCACGCCGGGCCCCGCGCGCGCTCGCCCTTTTTTCCGGGGGCGGGGCTTCCGGGCGCGGCGGGGAGGAGGAGGCGGGGCCGGAAGTGGGCGGGAGCGAGGAGCGCGAGCCGGTGCGGTTGCCCGGCAACGGGGGCGCTGGGGCGGGAAAGGCGGCGGGAGCGGGCCCGGGCCTGCGGCAGCGCTGGGGCCTGAAGGGGAGAACTGAGGGGAGCTCCAGGCCGTGAAGGGGCTGCAGGAAACCTGGAGAGGGGCCTGGGACAAGGGATGTAGGGACAGGCCAAGCGGAATGGCTTGAACCTGCCCGAGGGGAGACTGAGATGAGCTCTTAGGCAGAAGCTCTTCCCTGTGAGGGTGCTGAGGCGCTGGCACAGGGTGCCCAGAGAAGCTGTGGCTGCCCCATCCCTGGCAGTGCTCACGGCCAGGTTGGACACAGGGGCTTGGAGCAAGCTGCTCCAGTGGAAGGGGTCCCTGCCTGTGGCAGGGGTGGGAGCTGGAGGAGCTTTGAGGTCCCTTCACCCCAAACGAGGCTGTGGTTCTGTAACTCCTCCCAGCCCGCCAAACGGACTGAACCAAACCAACCCCGATAACTGCACACGATCCTCCATTGCCACAGCAACCGACGCACTGACAGCAGGCTGCCGGTTATTGTCCCTGTTTGCAGAGGAGCCGGGAGCCTCCATGACCTGGGGCCCCTGGGTCACTGCATCAGCATCAACCCAGGGCACCCGCCTGCTCTTCCCTCAGGTTTGGCAGTGTTTGTATCCATGTTTAGCACCGCTTCGCCACAGCCGCGACACACAAACTGTCACTGAACAAGCAGAGGCTGAAGCAAGCAACGCAACTGGGGGATGCACCGAGCTCGGCACCAGCTCAGGCACTGGCGCCCTCTACCCCAAAAACATCACTTTTTGGGGTAAGAACAGTACATTGAGACTTGGCCAAGGAGGTTTGGACCTGCTACTTGTTATGGAGAAGTTATATCCCCTTCTGTCCTGGTGATGAAAGGGGCATTTCCCTCACAGAAAAGGCTGAGGAGCTATTAAAGAGCTGGGACTTTGGGCCAGCAGAAGAGGAGTTGGAGGTTCATACCCCAGGTTTCAGAATCATTATTGAAAAGGATCATCCCGAGACTGCTCGTTAAGAAGTGTCAATGTAGTTACAGATTCCAAACCCATGCAAATTGAAAGTAAATGACTAATATTCATTTCCTTGGCTGGAATCCTGAAAGGGAAGGGGAAATGTGATCCCCGAGATCAAGCAGATACAGCAGAGGGAGGCAGCTCTGCAGAACGCATATCCTTTGGAGGCAGGTGAGCACTTCTGGTTCTGCTGTAACCAGAACCCCAGGCCAGGGCTCAAATGCCAACCTAACATCCGAAACCCCGGAGCCCGACCTGTTTTCCTGGCCTTCAGACCCGGCTGCACAAGGCACCTCTCCCAGGAGCTGCAGGACATGATTTCTGTTCTGTGGTAGGACTCAGTTTACAGTAAGGTATAATACAAGGCATGAAATAAGCTATCATCCCCAAACCAGCAGCAGGATGTGTGCGGAACCCATACAAGCGCTCAGTTTGGTAGCACACGTTCTGAATGCTACAGTGCAAATCATCTAATGAGGACGCGTCTTTAGCAAGAGCTTCCTTAGAATTGCTTAGCGTTATTCAAACCCCAGTTAGAGCTCAGCTGCTAAATAATCCATCTTCTATAGGTACCTCAATGCACGTTTGCAAGGTGAAGCACAAGTGGATGGGAAACAGCCTCCAGTTTGGGACCCTATGACACAACTGTAAGCTGTTAGCATTGGAGAGGGCTGGGATGCTTGCATAGGATTCCAAAGCTGAGAAAGGTAAAACAAGAGAAACCCAGAGGATCAGGATTAACCCCAGTCCAAAAGGGATACAAAATCTGTCCACTTAAAGCACTGTGGAGCCAACAGCCTTTTGTAGCCCCAGAGCACACAACATAGCTGGAAAAAGAGTGTATTTTGCTGCAGGGTCTTGCTATCTGATGACCCAAGGAGCTCAACTTATCCTCAAACAGATACATTCTAATAAGAAGCAGAATTGGCTCCCATATTTCAAGAAGTTTTAAGAGATACCCGTTCACGGAAGTGTTTCCCTCATTATGGGATGGGGTTTAGATCCTCTGCAATACCTGATGCGATCCAGCTACAGTCAGCGCTTCCCCCTCAGTCTCCAAGCCTTTACCAAGGGCTGGGGCTATGCATGAACCTTCCCCACGCAGTCTGACTCAGGAGGGTCACCCCAACGTGTTCACATTGCTTTTATTTAGGTCTTCTGCCAACAGTTACAGGGTAACAGACACTTGGGACCGCAGAGTCAAAGTTGCAAGCAAAAACCAGGACCAAGGCAAAAAAAAAAAAAAAAGAGAGAAATCCACAAAGGCAATCAAATCAAATCAAACCAAATCAAATCAATATAAATACAATGTTCTGGAGCTCTTGAATCATACTGTTTTCTTTAATAAAGAGGTGGTTATGATCTTACAGGATTTTCTTTTTTGGCCTAATCCAAGGATTTTGTTACTCTTCACCAGTCTCAATTCCACGCATACAAAAAGGAAAATTGATATCCGACCTTTCAAATATAAGCCTTATTTTCTTAATAAAATAAGTTTTGTGCTGCTGCTTGTTCAGGAAGCACTGTACATCAACTGTCCACATCTATTTAACAAAGGGACCATACAGAGCTCAAGCAAAAGCCAAACCAAAATAACCCACAAGGAAAATAACAACCCAAACAGAGCGTCTCGTAAACACCCTATGTACAGTTCAACACTTGCTCCTATAAAGGAGGTACGAAAGGGGCTAGAAATTGAACACAAAAGCACTGGAGTCCTGCAAATTTTCTTTCACAACTATTGAAGTGCAAATCACTCAGGCAAGATATGGATTTCACTTGGTTATTGCTCTCTTCTGTCTGGCTTTCTCTTCCTGAAAGGATCACATTCTTTTACGTCAAGCTAACTTTTCCAAGAAGAAAACTTTCCGCGAGGCAACGCTGAATGCTCGGGCTTTTGGACACTCAAGACATCAGGTCTTATGCTTGTGAATACCAGAACACCCTGACCGCCCCTGTAAGTTTTGGGGAAAGGGTTGCTCTGCCCTCTCCCCCCCATTATACTCACACAGAAGGGACTCAAACAGCATTCAACAGCTGACGGGTAAATCAAAGTTACTCCTCTTCCCACAAAACGGCAGGCACCCGGAGATGCTTCCAGTTGCAGAAGGAACACGTGCGCATGGAGAAGGCAGAGACTGGGGAGCCATCCGGGATGTCCATGTGGGGTTTGTGGCTTTGTGTTTGCAACTACAGATCCTGATATGTATCTGGGTTAACATCTATCCGCTACGGGTAGCAAAACGCACAGCACCTCAACATGCAGTTACTCGTTTGCATCTCGGACAAGAAAAGGGCAGAAATGCTGAATGCTGGAGCCGTGTCGAAGGTACAGTGCATAGTCCATTATACAAAACATGTGGGTAACTCAAACCCCTTCTAAATGTCTTCAGAATGGAAACAGGGTTTAAAGGGCACAGCAGCTACTGAGTTTGGCTTTTTTGATTCATTCAAACCCAAGAAAACCCAACGCAGAGGGTGAAATAGGGGCAGAACACGATCTGCAAGTCAACAGCTGAGAGTTTCAGAAGCTGTGAAGCTGTCGCGCAGTTAAAACGCTGTTAAAAGTAGGTGCTACATCAGCAAGTCTTCATTCATAGTTTTCTATGAACAGCCACCTTACAAATGAGTGCAAATCTTAAAGGTCCATTTTACATTTCAAGTCTCAAGGTTACAAAAAATCGTTACAGAGCAAGAAGCTGTTTCTGTAAATGCCCACACTGTCTCTTTTCAAATGGTTAAAAATGGCACGTGCGATGCCACAGCTACGAAAAGACATTTCAGAATCCTAAACCCAACTAAAACACGAAAATAAAACACTAGAACCCAAAATACCTTTGCCCCTCGCTGCCCAACAGCAGCCAGGGGCTTTCCATCGTAATGCTGGTGAACAAACTGATTTGCAGAGAGAACCTTGACCTCAACCCCGATCTTATCCTTACTGAGGAGCTTTCTAACACCAGGTGAGTGGGTACAGCCCCTCTGGGATCATTTTGCTTGCAAGGAACATGAGCCAGAGTTCTGAGGATGAGATGGAGAGGTGCTGAATTTGTGTCACTATGCAGGCACTTGTGTACAGGAATGTAGGCTTCTCATGTTGGTGCTTAGTGTTGATGTGTTCCCTACTCTCTAAAAAGCCTTCCTAAGAGTTTGCTACCCTACTGACCACGAATAGTTCCTGGTCTCCCCCCCGTCACCTTGCAGATATACAGCAGTGGAGGTTGACACAAGGTGCAAAGGAGAATACAAACAAAATACTGTCGTCTTGAGGCAAAAGAACTGGACTGTGCTAAACGCAGGCTCTTCACAGAACGTGGCATCAGTGGGCTCAGCACTTAGTTTGCATAGCATATTGATGTCTTCACTTTTCACAAACACGGTGCCCGAAAAAGAGAACGGGTTGAGTGAACTCCCACTGCTGGGACAGACCAAGGGGCCAACATGACCAACGTGGCTCTTTTCATGAAGGCAAGTTTAAACATCAGGAAGTACAAACCAAAAAGGTGTGCTTCTCTCCACGCGTACTGACATGGGGCAGTGCCTGCGGTGGATCTGCCTCGGAAACGCGCTCATGGCTGGCAGGAGAATGATTGCGCTTCAAGCTCTTCCCTTGAAGAGCGCGGGAGGAGCATGCACGTCATTTGCTCTCTTGCAGGAAGCACTGTGCACGCGTTCATGTAAATAACCCAGATAATC